TATGGTATCCATGTATGTTATAAAAAGAAGCGGCGATAGTACACAGCCCTGTCGCACCCCAGACTTCACTATAAAAGTTCTCGACAACCCTGCCTTCGATCTTATGCAGCATTTACTACGTGTGTACAGGCTTTTGCAAATATTAATGAGATGATTGCTAATTCCTTTTTTTCCCCATACATTCCCACAACATATTCCTGTCGACTCTATCGAAGTCTTTTTCTTGGTCTATGAATGTCAGTTGTCTTATCATGTTCTATTGCCCTCTCTGATAGTTGTCTCAATGTATAAATGGCATCCGTGCAACTTCTGTTTCGTCGAAAGTCCATCTGTGCTTCTGAAAATTGATACTCTATCAATGGTCTCAGCCTTTTTTCGATGATCTTAGCATACATAGTTTTTCTGTCAGTATATAGACATCCTAAAAATGAAAGATTCCAAAATCTAGCTATGGGGCGACTAATTAGAAGTAATTTTATCCACCAGGCCAAAGAGCTTTGTAAGCAAACCACTGATCTGCAAGCAAATGGATAGTCCCCTAAATGCAGTCCTATAACCGACTCCCTGGAGATAGGAATATGAGTTTCCAATACACATTAAGACAGAAGTGAAGGGACTATTTGGCAAGGAAGAAAAAAAAATCACATGTGCAGCATAAAACAGCCACCCTCAGTCTACTTGATGATGAATACCCACATGATCTTTGGGTTCGTGTTTAAAAAGATGGATCAGTACAAAATGCAATCAGAAACGGGGAAGTAGGAGTGAACATTAAGTACCCTAATAATGCCAGGCATTCGGTTAAAAAAATGCCAGTAGGAAAGCACTGTCAAAACTACGATGCAGAAGTTCAAGCCATCAAGATAGTAGCAGAGAAATGACTAACACCGGTTATATTTTACAACCAGTGGTATTCCTGACAGATACGAAAGCGGTACTTTAGGCACTCTAGTCTTGAAAATTACCAGGTTTACGGACATTAAACTAGGCAACCGGTGTAAGATATCTATGCAATTGATATCGTCCCACTGTGGACTTCTCGGAAATGAAAGAGCTGATAAACTAGTCAAGGAAAGTTCAAATGAAGAACAACTCGACGTATCAGTCTTTTATCAGTAGAAGAAGAAAATAATAAAAAGCCACCAAAACTGACACAAGACGATTACCATATTATGGACAGACCAGAGCAAGTTGTTATTCAACGCCTTAGAACAGGACACAGTCGACTTCGCAGCCACATGTACACACAATTTAAAGTCGGCGAATCAGCCATGTGCACAGGTGGACTGGCACTTGAGACAACAGATGACATCCTCCAACTCCAAGACTGTCCCAAATACGAAAATGAAACTTTACGGACCACTAAGTGAATTACAGAAGACAGTGACGTTCACAGCAGGGCCCGCATTGCAGATATAGATAATTTATTTCAAGCGAATGAAAGGAGGAGAAGAAGTAAAATAAAAATAAAAAATAAAAACTGACTTTTACGATAAGCTCATAAATCACCCATAAAATGAACGCTGCACAAAATGAATCGCTTGAGGGAATCCAACACCATATTTATACTAAACGCATATGGATGTGCAGTATTCCAGTCATTTAGTTTTCCGTGTTTTTTAAATGACATAAAGCCTTCCACAATATTTGATCCTTCCATAATAATTGATTTTTTTTTTCAATCACTTTTATCGGCGCTGAATTTGATCGTATAATTCAAATATCTTCTCTAAATGTGTTTAGTATACTACTATATCAGCAGTACGACTTCATATGTTTCTTATCCAATACCAGAAGCCTTGGCGGTCATGGTTCGCAACTGCAATTTATCATAATCACTGATCAGGTCAATGTTCTGGACTCGTTGAGACATCATGATGTTTGTTTACCCTTTTTTTTGCGAGAGCTGCATAGCGTTGCTCAGCGGCTAGTTTCTCACTTGCCGACCTAAAAGTCTACGGTTCAAATCCGAAATAATGCGAATTGTTTCCAAATTGACCTTGTTGACAGTTCGACCCAGCCTAAATAGGTACGAGGTGATGTTCTGATAAGCAAAGGTGGCCGGTGGGATGTTGACCACATTATCAGCAGAGTACCAAGGATCGTTAAAAATATACCTAACATCATACGCTTGTCGGTTCTTAGCTGACTGACTTTCTACCCCACCAGGACATCACACAAGCGATAAACATCCGATGACACAAAGTGCCACCTTGTGGGTGAGGATCACCGTGGAGAGGTCCCAGAAACCGCTTTCAGCCTTTAGGCCATATTTATGGCCAAGCTATATTGCGGCCCCTGGAAAAAGCCAGAGTGGGGCTTCAATTAACAAAAAATTTCTTCTTAAAAAAGACATTATTAAGCAACAGAAATAATAAATCCCAGTTCAAACATGGGACGCAATTCGCCATCGGGGGTTCTAAATATAGCATACAGTTTGAATTTGATCTCTGTGACATGCGTCGGGCGATTCTTATCCAAATGGTGGTACTTTGTGTCTTTGGCATCCTCTTGTAGGATGCAATTTTTCGTTATTTTGAAGCCCTACTCTTGCTGTTGCCATGGCCCGCAAATAACCTAATGGTTAAATGCGGTTTCCGTGACATTTCCATTGGTGATTCTCATCCACATGGTGGCACTTTGTTTCACCGGGTGATAATCGTTCTGTGTGATTTCCTAGTCGGGTAAAATTTACCTCACCTTACCTTTATGTCTCTTTGTGTCTGTAGCTCCTTGTGCGGTCCAGGTGGGGTTGAACGTTAGTCAGTCAGTCAGCAAAACAATGCATTAAAAAAAAAAAAAAATGCACAGCCGCAAAGCCTTTTTCCGTTTGTACCATTCAGAAGTAAAGCTACGAATATACTTCTTGTTGCTTTTTCCTAAATGAAATATATGCATTTCAGAAGTTGAACTGCCTCTTTTTTTAGCAGCAACTTTCTCACTAATTATAACTGAAAACTTGAGCTGTTCACTTATAGTCAGGAAACCTATTTTTGTGGATGAAAGGAGGTCATTGTTAAATTTTTTGAATTTCTTTAGACAAGTGATGGGCGTGTTCTATAATCTTTCTTTGGGCGTATATAAAGTGATCCGAAAAATCGTTATTCTGTCTTGACATAGATTAACACCTCATAAGCAGTCTAATATGGCGAGTAGGTAGACTGACTGCTTTAGTCGTGGCCAGTTGTTTGTTTCTTCTTACGGTTATTTGCTGCATTCCGCCCTCCCCCATTGTGGACTGAAAGCACGTAGTTCAGTCGCCCAGCTACTGGACTGGGTACATGGCGCGACATCGTCAGCTACGAATTTTATTCGGAATACCTTTGACTGTACTCAGGGTGGTTTGTGTTTGGCAAATGGCTTGTTACTACAAAACTGGCATGCCGTATGCGACACCTCATGCGCAACAGCTGACTTAATGTATCTGCTGGCTGCATGGACGATGAACTCCAATTCTAGTGGCGGGCTATTTGTGTTAGTACTCATGGTGGATAGCGTAAATATTTAATGCGCGTGTATGCTAATATCTGTTTATTTTTTCGCCACAAGAGACAGTTATAAGTGGTCTGTGATTTTCGCTAGCAAGGGACCGAGCAGTTATGGCATTAACAGTTGCCTTGAAGTTGGAGGGCCAATTAAATGATTAACACCCTTCTTTTTTTATTTTGCTATGTACTGTTTTATCATTTTCTGTACTTTGAGCTATCTATCCACATATTTTTGTTTTTAATTGGCATAAGTTTAATGCCTCGAGTCATATATTCATTAGGACTGAAAAGAAGGGGAATCTTTAGGAGTTTATACTTCTCACAGTATACAGAATTTTGTTCAATACTAATATTATTATGTTTCTTGTAAGTGGTCTTGTTAGCCTTTACTGTGGCTCCAAAAATATTAATTTGGCTTGTGTTGTTGCCGGCCATTTTAACGGAAGTTGGCAAATCAAAGATTTCTCAGGTAGGATTATGTTAACCCCCCAAATAAACATAAATATTTTGATGCGCCGGTCATCGTTGTCCTGAAATATCTTATGGTGTTTAATTATTTCATTACTTGAAATTATATCATTACATGAAATCTTAGGTGCATAGCATAACATGACAAGGTGAGAATCCAAGACATGACGGAGAGATGCACCATGTCCGCGGTTTCTTTTTTGTCACCGATTAAAGTAGAAGAGCTACACCCAGCGTTTGTTGCTTGGTGGACTAAGAGTCTAAGACTGAATGAAGTCTATTTATTATAAAGCTTTCGATAAATTCTCAAATAATGCCGCTTGCAGAGCAAAGTCAGAGGCTGTGAAAGATGCAGCAGAAATTTTGATAAAAAGAAAATTGGTTAATAAATGACATAGCGTCTTGACAGCTGACAACAAAATTTATGTTAAAATTGTTATAATCAATCTCAATCATGTCTCTACAACCAAATGGAAAATTAAAGAAAGAGAAAGCAGTGATGGCTGATGCTAGTGGTGATGCCAAGTGGATTTTGACCCAAAAGCACTGTAGAGTATTAACGCAGAGCATATATATCATATTTTTAGAAAAGAGTATCTGAAATGAAACTGATAGAGGGCCCCAATGCCAATACTAAGTAATGTCATTTAATACATCATGCCATTCTGAATGGCAGACTGACGTATCTATTTAACAGTCAAAATAGTGAGTGACAGAGAGCGGAAGCTTACTGTATGCTGATTTAACTCATCCAGTCCCAAAAAGCTTATCAAAGCCATGCCCACAACAATTACAGATGTGACAAATGAAACATCTGGAATTCACCAAGGATGCAAGGTTCTCATTGAATACTCACATTGTCAATATAGTAATAATATACCTATGCCAGTCATAAGCATGTGCGGTATGGAGATCAACAGAACGACATATCAGTATTGCCAGTGTTTCTAGAACCATTGTTTTGGATAATTTTGTTGTGTGCATATAGTTTGACACTGTCAAACACCATTACTTTCATGGATAACCAATATATTTCAGTGAACCATGGCACATTTTGTATACCCAACTGCGAATGCTATGGCCCAGCTATCTTCTCCAGCACAGGCTTATCCCACAGCTCAAAGCCCCTACGTGGCTGCAGCTCCTCAGACTGCCTATGCCACTTCAGCTGCTCCCTCCAGGGTAGGGCAGACATACAAGGCCTACCCGGCAGCAGCGGCCTCAGCAGTTCATGCACCCACGCAGTATGCATATTCCAGACCTCAAGTTACAGTGACTGTTAGTATCTGTTTGTAACTTTCTTTAGTAAATATATATGTAATGCTTTGTATTCCAGTTAAGTTGTCTTGGGCATTGTAATGAATCTTACTTTAACAGTTCATCATGGATAGATGTCTAACTCATACCTTTATGTGTACGTTTCGTCCATTTCCTACACTCCTACACACCTAGTCATATTCCAGCAATTTCCTTGCCCCTCCCCCTCACCAGCCACGACTGGTAACCCCTCTCCAGCCCTTTACTACTGATGATCAGATTTCACTGACTCGGTTCCTCTCACCTCTATAAAAGTCATACCTGGTTCATATTTGTTCCTTCTTCTATTAGAGGGGTCCAGGAAAGTACTGCATAGTATATTTGTGTGTTTTTGTTGTGTTGTGTTTAGTTTCTCGTTGTTCTGCTGATAAAGGCTAATTGCCGCAAGTGATTTTGTAAAGTTAATATATACTTTTCTGTTTTCTCACTGTTTTCTGTCTTTTCTCCTCCCTGTCCTTTTAAGATCTTTTTTTTATAGACATAGATAATAGATGAGAATAGTGCACTCAGAACGGCACAAATGATAACAGTTAATGGTTACTTCATTGATCAGTGATCAGCCTCTGTGAATGTAAAGAAATTACTTGTTTAGGCCCACAGCCATTGCAGTGTGAAACTGTGTGAGCCCCTGGAAGTAGTAGACAGATAATTGTTGGTATCTAGTCCTGATTGTGGGCAGTGACACCTCTACTGACGGGGGCTTCATTACCAGCCAATATCCTCACGGCCAAGAAGGAAAGCAGAGGCAAACTTCCTTTACAGATACCTAGAAAAACATAATAGTCACCTAAATTAAGGGATGCATTATTGATATGTAAAGAGGCCTGCAAATTAAAGAAGTTAAACTGAATTGAGAGATGAGGAAAGGACAGTGTTGGAGAGGACACACATTGAGAAAATCTGATGATAATAATATAACACGCACGTCTGTAGACTGGAATCCACAGAGTCAAAGGAATACATTCGAACCAGTTAAAAAACCCCAGATGATAAACAAAATTAGAGAGTGATATTAATATGGGGATGACATGTGCGAGTTTAACGCAGTGGATAAAGGTACAAAGTCTTGGCCTGAGTTATTTGAGGGCCTATTATTTACTGCAGGATAAAGAAGAACATCAAAGAGACATGACGATCTAGAGAAGATAAACATGGATAGTGTCATTCTGTGGAAGTGAAACAGAAGAGACCACACTAGATCTTTTTTATTTTCTCCTATTGGATCTCCTATATAACGCTAATGAGGATACATTTTGGCTAACAACTCTTGTTGCAGACTGCCTTTCCTCTGCAGCCCACTGTTAGTTATGACCAGTCCAAAGCATATTACCAGCCTGCTACAGGAACTACCTATACGGTAGCTGCAGAACCTCAGTTTCAGACAGGTTTGCCTTTTTTTGGATATGATTGTAATTACTGGTATCCTGCTTATATCTCATTGTATTCTTGGCTGTGATCATAAATTTATTGCCGACTTGCCAAGCCTATTGTAACTTCACCAGAGCCTCCAAAGGTATACACCAAAAGAGGAGAGGGACTTGGAGCACAAGGTACACCACAAACAAGATGGAAAGATAACATCAGAGAAACTACAACAGCACATTATTTATGTGGTCGAGATGGCCTGAAAAGCGAGAAGCAGAACCTTATGTCTCCTTTGATGCCTGAAGTGGTGAAAGACAAAGTAAAGAGAAAGAAGAAGAAAAAGCATGATAGACTGTTTCACTTTGCTTTAGAAGATATGAATTCAAGCTAGGTGTAGAAATAGGAGAATCTCTGGGGAATGGCTGGTATTAACAGTTATCAGACAAAGAAGAGGCAAAATGTTTGACACATCCTGAAGAGGAACAGAGAATCACTAAACAGGCACTGAAATGAGAACAAATGGATTGAGGAAGCAGTGATGTTCAAGAGAAACCCTGAGATGAACATTGATGAGAGAAGCCAAAGATTCCATCCATGATAACAAAAAGAATGGAACAGAGTCGAGGACTAGACTGCGAGCCCTGTGTGACCTTACAGATAAAATCTGGATGATGAAAGGTGATGCTCTATTTTGACTGGTTATGGACCTGTTGAGATACAGTAAAATATTACAGGCAATAAATTATACAGTATATTTATTATTCTAGGGTGACCATAAAATCTTGAGCTGAAAATGGGACATCCCAAGCAGTTCAGTTTAACTCCAACCTTGTTTTTTGTTTCTAGGTCACAGAGGTATAAGGGTATAATTACTCGCTGAACATTGGTATTAAAACCTAAACCATTGTCACCATAAAATTAACTAAACAAATTTTCTTTGACTGCACTGGGGGGAAAAAATGCTACAATAAAAACTCTCATCAATACATTTCAGGCATTAAAAGTATCAAAAACTATTAAATCTAATAATATCTAGATACAGCCATAAGTGTGTGTTCTGTTCATCAGCTAGTTCTTAGATTTGTTTAAAACGAGATGACTGCAATTTTTTGGGGTGTTGGAATACCGACAGTACGGCCAGGGCACACCTAAAAAAACGGGACTGTCCCGGTGAAAATGGGATGTAAAGTCACCTTATTTATATATATATGTATGATTGTATATTTCTGACACGAGAATCTCACAGATCACTAGGCATATTCTAGCACAAGAGTATATTAGTTGTTGAATTGTAAATTAATTATTCACCATAAATTAAATATTGAAATATTATTTTATTTTACATTTTTAAACTTGAATGTTTTGCAATGACAACACAGCCAATTACACTTTAAATAAATTATTTCCTATTCATACACTTATTTCCTAAAAGTGTACTCACTACTTCAGACATTGTTCATTGCAAATACTTTATATTGAATTGTTTTGAGTTTAATAATAGGAACAAATATTCAAAGTCATATAACTTCAGCAAAGTTTACTTTTACTGATTAGTTAGTTAGTTAGTTAGTTAGTCTTTCCTCTTGTGTCGAGTGCGGCACATAGGGCAGAGGTCATGGCGGTCCGTTGCAATCCGTTGTAGGTCTTGGATGTTTGAGTGGCCCATGAGCGAGCCTTCCCTGATGATAGTTCTACGTAAAGTTTCCCTTGGTCTTCCTCGAGATCTTTTCCCCTGTGGTGTCCAAATGAGGGCTTGGTAAGGAAGTCTTGATTTATCCATTCTAAGGGCGTGGCCGACATAGTTCCAGCGGCGTTTTCGTATAAAATTAGACATACTCTTGCCTGGATTCTTGCCTTATTTGTGTATTGGTTCGGAAATCTGACCATTTGAAATTTAGTATTCTTCTAAGGCATTTATTTTCAAAACTGTCTAATTTTGTGTGTAGAGTTTTCGTTGATTTCCAGCTCTCGCATCCATAGGTTAGTACTGGAATCACACAAGAATTGAAGATCTTGAGTTTTGTGTGTTTGCTAAGTGACTTTGATTTCCAGATGTTAGACAGTTTATTGATTATCACAATAAATAAAGAAATGAACAATGACCAGGGCCACAGATGTGACTGTATAAATAAACATTGTGGCCATAATGGCAAATAAAAATTTAACCTGTATATTGGTCTTGGTTTGTTAAGAGTTGACACTTCATTTATAATAAATACACAAAATGGGGAAAGGGGTTGTGATTTATAGTATAAATACTGTTTATACTGTTCACTCCTGTTCAAATTATTCCTACATATTAAGTCATACCCCCGTGGAATGCAATTTGTTTTTTACTTTGAAGCCCTACTATGGCTTCTGCCGCGGGCCCTAAATATAGATATGGTCTAACGGCTAAAAAAGGGTTTCTGGGACCTCTCCACGGGTGATCCTCATCCGCATGGTGGCACTTTGTGTCACCGAGTGTTTATCGCTTGTGTGATGTCCTGGTGGGGTACAGCTACCTACCTACCCCCTGTTCAAAGCGAATTAATACATCTGTCGCCCCTAATATAGGGTGCAATTTTTCGTTATTTTAAAGCCCCACCCCAGATGTAGCGGGAGGCCCTAATATAACCTAACGGTTGAACAGGGTTTCTGGGACCTCTCCCCAGGTGATACTCATCTGCATGGTGGCACTTTGTGTCGCGGGGTGTTTATTGCTTGGTAGATGTCCTGGTTGGGTTGAATCTCATTCATTCATCCATTCCTGTTCAAATTTACCCGTGTCAGACTTGGTGAAAGAGAGGAAGATCACAATATATGAATGTTAAAGTCATGTGGTCTATCTTTCTCTCTTGCTAGAATATGTCCCATAGGGACTACAATATAGTTCTATATTCCGTTCTATCCTTTGCATTCCTCTTGGTATCATGGATGGAATCAAGTCCAGCACCTTTGGCCTGTCTCAGCAATATTCCTTCTAGGGTTTCTGTTGGACAGTCTCATTTTCTCAGTCCATTTGTTTCCCATCTTGGGGCCTGTTTAGTGATTCTCTGTCCACTTCTCATGATGTAGCTTATAAATACCTATATTTTGCATCTCACAATAAACATATGGCATGCATTTATAATTGCATCAGTAAAAAATATGATTAAGAAATTCTTCTTAAAATTCATGCCGTGTAGCGTTGGTAGTCATGTCTATCCCTAACCTTCTGTCTCGTGTACTTTCAGTCAACTCTGTCACAGATGATCCTGCACACCATGATGTCAAACTGTCTAGCATCTCTCCTCTCAGTCTCCCTCTGCCTCTCCTCCAATTTTCCTTTGATTTTTATCTGCACTTAAAAAGTATCTTATTTATAAACAATTAAGGCATAATTTGATATTTATTTTAAAATTGAAACTAGCTTTTGTTTAAACTTGTTCATCACATTCACCTTGTTTTTATTAATTCTTCTCTTGCCATCTTAATTTACTGCACATGGTATTTTAAGTTGGCATCTCGTTTCCTGCAGCTAAATCAGTGTTTAGCTCTGGGGCAACATACGTCAGCCAGCAGCGACCAGGAGTAGTAGTTTCTAATGCCCAGGCAGTACCTGTATCCTCTGCTGCTACTAGCTACGTATACTCTTCAGCGGCCCCAACCATTACCACATACTCAACCAGCAACTTTACCACCACAACTCCACAAAACAACATGACAGGTACTGCTTTAAACATCATTTGTTGTTGCACTTATTTTAGTTGCTTTGCTCTGCTATGTGCATGTTGCTGTTGTAGGACATTCTGTTATTCTTGAAGGACATTGTGATGTTATTGTTGGACATTCTGATGTAGTTATAGGACTTTCTTTTATTCTTAACTCTTTGAGTCCCAAGGAACGCATCATACGTTCATAGGTTCCTACCTAGAAGCCCAATCAACGCATGATGTGCCGATTTTATGACTATTCACTACCCCTGGGCCTGTGATGCTAAACCCTCTGGGACTCAAAGAGTTAAAGGACATTCTGATGTTATTGTTGGATGTTCTTTTATTATTGTAGGACATTCTTTTGATATTGTGGGATATTCTGTTATGTTAGAATGTTCTCTTTTTTTTATTAAAGGACATTCTTTTGTTTTTGATGGAAATTCTATTATTGTAGGACATTCTGTTATTGTTATACATTCTTTTGTTATGATAGGATCAGTTGTTATTTTAGAATATTCTGTTATAAAAATAACATTCTATTGCTATTGTAGGTTGTTCTGTTGTTATTTTAGGGCATTCTTTTGTTCTTTTAGGAATTCTGCTTCACACTGATTATTATAACTTTAGTAAAATATTTATTATTTAAATGGAATACCAGAAAAAAGTTAGATATTGCTTTGTTTTACTTGAATATCAGTTATTATTTTTATTCTTTCTTCTGCCTTTAACTCATTAAACATTAGGCCCTCAAGCGATGTCCTTTGTAGATTTGTCCCTGATTGTTTGGCTGTTGTGGCTAAAGTTGCCTGTGTAATGACTGAACTGGTCTCACACTAAGCCTGTCATGGATTGTCTACCCCAGACATTCTGTTGTGCCGGGTAATGAGCATTCTGATAGATTGGCTTCTGTCGCTTCTCTGGGTGGTGAGCTATTTTATGATAAAGTGGTGAAGGCTTCCTGGGATCAAGTGGACAGTGCAATGGAGCTGACAGAGCAACCCTCCCTGAGAGTAAGGAGAGACTTTGAGCAGTTTTCAAGACAAAAGACGGGCAGATTTTAATCAGGTTGCAGCATCACCTTCATAATGGTAACTATTTATTGGCTGCTGAGGAAATGGACAAAGCATGTATGGGAATGATCTAAGTACATTGATGTCATGTCTTAATTGATTGATTCTTTCATTCATACACAAGGTGTTTGAATCGTCTCTTTAACTAACCATGCCCATGAAGATGTGAAGCAAATAAGGGGGTTACTGCAGTCGAGCTGATGACGAGAAGTGCCAAATACAACATAAAATGTGACTTGAAAGCTCAGCGGTGAGCATAAATACAACTGAATATTTTGACCAAGTCTTCATCGTAAACAGAGTACCAGATACAACAATACTTTAAAAAAAGTTAATGGACAAGACAACTGAGGGAGACCAGAAACAGTAGTAAATACAGACAGTGGTGCACAAGACAACTGTTTTATTATGGACGGATCAGAATAAGTCATTATACCCCCCCCCCCCCCCCCCATCCCTCAGAACATGGCACAACCGATTACATAACCACATGTACACAAATGTCAAGATAGGTGTATCGGTCATGTGCACCTGTGGAAAGATGCCCCAGACAGCAGAGTATGTACTCCAGGACTGCACCAAATTTGACACATTAAGGCAAACCTATTGGCCAGTACAGAACAACAGTGGACTGTTAATGCTATGGACCACTGAATGAATTAACAACGTCAGTGAAATTTACACGAGAGACAAAATTGCTGATATAGACAGCTTATTTCAGGCGAACGAAAGAAGACTGGTGACAGTTTTATTACGGTTTATACTTCATAATTCAAAGGAGATTTATGCTCTTAATCTTGTATGTGTTAACAGGTGTTTTGCTTTGTTATGTGATGGTTGAAGGGATTGCTTACAGCAAGCGTTATTATTTCTCTTTGCAGGCTTTGATGCAGCAATGTACTCATCAGCCAACTTGTATGGCCAGCAGGCAGTGGCTAAATCTGGGCCACCTGCCTGGATCGTCAAGAAGCCTGTTGTTGGAAGTCAGTTCAGAGCCAGGCCTAAAGGTCCCCCTAAAGCCCCTCAGCTTTATTACTGTGATGTATGCAAAATCAGCTGTGCATGTCCACAGGTAGTCTGTTAGATGTTGAGTGTCAATTGTATGGGCATATATTGTCATTCTTCTTAAGGTGCTGTGTCTGGAGCAGACATCTGTGAAGTTATAGACTAGGAAATGGAAATAAGATGCCAAGACTTACATACCCATCTGGGCAAAGATTCAACATCACAGCATTCAGGACAGACCTAAATTAGCTCCATTTCTCTCCTCAACTGCCAGCAAAGAATCCCCATACTGATGCTACCTGTTGTCATCTGGCTAACTACCTCTTGCATTTTCTCCAAGTCTCTAGTGGCACCCTGAGCCTGCATACACTTCATGCTGCATCGTTCTCTCTAGATATTGCTTTTCAGTACACCATTTTAGTTATTACCTCGTCCCACAGGTGAGAGACCTTCTCTGCTTTGTGCAGTTGTAGTACTGTACCCCCCAACCCCACCATAGCTGACCTCAATGCCTGCTCTTTCTCAGACATGCCTGCATGACTTGGGGAAAATATCCATGTGACTGTCACCACCTGGGACCTCTGGATTGATGTGACCCATTCCATTCTAAGAAAAACTGATTCCACCTTCATGAGCATGCTTTGTAAATCCAGTACTATGACAGCATGTGTGATGTGAGATTTTCTCCACCAACTAGAAGGCTTACTACCTAAGCCTCCATTCTCCTGCTGGATTAAGACATCCAAACCTAATTATGTCCTGTAGTATCATTTTATTAATGGCATATTCATAGAAACTATACTGCAGATGGTATCAAGAAAAATCAAAAACTCAAGTCATAAATATGAACAGTGGTGAGGTGAGTAGCTGAGAAAAGCCACCACTTCAGTCATCCAAAATGAAGTCATAAATATGAACAGTGGTGAGGTGAGTAGCTGAGAAAAGCCACCACTTCAGTCATCCAAAATGAAGTCATAAATATGAACAGTGGTGAGGTGAGTAGCTGAGAAAAGCCACCACTTCAGTCATCCAAAATGAAGTCATAAATATGAACAGTGGTGAGGTGAGTAGCTGAGAAAAGCCACCACTTCAGGCATCCAAAATGAAGTCATAAATATGAACAGTGGTGAGGTGAGTAGCTGAGAAAAGCCACCACTTCAGTCATCCAAAATGAAGTCATAAATATGAACAGTGGTGAGGTGAGTAGCTGAGAAAAGCCACCACTTCAGGCATCCAAAATGAAGTCATAAATATGAACAGTGGTGAGGTGAGTAGCTGAGAAAAGCCACCACTTCAGGCATCCAAAATGAAGTCATAAATATGAACAGTGGTGAGGTGAGTAGCTGAGAAAAGCCACCACTTCAGTCATCCAAAATGAAGTCATAAATATGAACAGTGGTGAGGTGAGTAGCTGAGAAAAGCCACCACTTCAGGCATCCAAAATGAAGTCATAAATATGAACAGTGGTGAGGTGAGTAGCTGAGAAAAGCCACCACTTCAGGCATCCAAAATGAAGTCATAAATCAGACAGGTTCTTCCCTGTGTGGGTTGTGAAGGCATACAATTCAGGAGAACAATTATAGACCCACTGCTGCCCTAAAAGGTATGTCATAAAAAGTGACTTATTAGTGGTTTGCTATAATCAAAGGTTTTGGGATGAAAGGTGCCGATATCACAGCCTAGTTGTAAGCCACACTATAATGTGCCAACCGCCCTTTTGAGGTCTGACGCAGAAGAAGATTAAAATAGATTGTTGGTACAGCACCATCTGTTAAATACAGAGAGAAGTAGAACTTAAAATAGTTCAGCCATGTGGTTGGATGACAGTAAATTCAGTTATAGGTACTAGATCTAAGAAGATATGATGTTGTTAGAGGACTTCCAAGAAGAAAATATGTTGACGTCATTAAAGATGGTTAATTCTAAACAATATTTTCCTGTACTGAATGTAAATAATGTGTAGACTTCTTTTGTCATCTTGCTGATACCAGGTTCTAGCCCCAGTGTCATGTTACACAAACAGTGCATTGTGCAGTTTATTACCTGGCGTTTTTCACTGAATCACACACACACAAAACCTCTTTCCACTGAATTACACAAATCACAGTGTCGCTAGCTACATGTGCATATTACTGCCAACAATTCAAGATTGGTCAAATGTTTACCTTGGCAATTTCAAGTTGACAACATACAATTTTTTTATGGCAAAATGTGGGATTGTTTGATTGTCACAACCTCTGCCAGTTTTAGTGAATGCCTATTTACGTGTGATATATAACTGGGAAGGTACAATCCCTATCAACTACTTGCCTCGTGTGAAGTAAATGACATCTTATGGAAGAATTAGGTTCTCTCTTTTTGATTCTTCTTCTTCACTTCCTCTTTTACCGCTGTGGGTGTCGAGGGAGATATAAGGTTCTGTTTCTAGCTCTTCTGGCCGCTTCGACCATAGGCACATCGTGCTGTTGTAGAGTTTCTCTGATGTTATCCTTCCATATTGTTCTTGGTCTACCTCGTGCTCTACGTCCTTCTTCTCTTTCCATGTATGCTTTGTATGGTATGGTGTCACAAGGCATTCTCTCTAAGTGGGCAAACCATTTCACTTGCTGTCTTCGTATGTAATCCAGAATTGGTTCTGTGCCGACTTTTTCTCTTATGATCTTATTCCTGATCTTATCTCTTATGGTCACTCCTACAGCCCTTTTCAGACATCTCATTTCCGTGGTTACTAATTTTCTTTTATGGTTTATTGTGAGTGACCATGTCTGGCACTGGTAGCACAGAGTTGGAATAAATATGCTTTGAATTAGATGTCTCTTTGTGCTGATTGGGATTGTCTTATGCTGTAATAGGGGGGCTAGCTGTCCCAATACTTGGTTTGCTTTACTGCATCTAATGTTAATTTCTTTATCCAATTTCCCATCTTCGGTAAATGTAGTTCCCAGATATTTAAACTCAGATGCCTGTTTAATGTCTTTGCACTCTATTGCTATGTTTAGATCTGTCTTATTTTTTCCTATTGACATTACTTCTGTCTTTTCAGTGTTGATTCTCATATTATTTGTTTTACATTCTTCATTCATGGATGTTAGATGTTGTTGCAATCTCATGGCTGTATCTGCTATCAAGGCCTGGTCATCTGCAAAGAGTAATTCGTTGATCTTACTAACATTTTCATTCATGGGCTTGGCATTCTTGCATATACTGTCGATGTAGGTGATAAACAGCAGTGGTGATAAGACATACCCCTGTCTTACTCCAGATGTTACTGTGAATGGATGAGATGTTCCCTGATTTATTCTAACTACACTTCTACAATCCCTGTATAAACTTTTGCACACTTCGATGAGGTGTTCGCTTACTCCATATCTTGCCATTACTTTCCATAATAATTGTCTGTCGACTCTGTTTTTGACCGATGGCAGAAAATCCATGGTAGGCTCCTGACCAGAGTCCGGTCAGTTAATGCAAGCCAGACTTCATTTTGCATAACAGTTACATTTTTTTGAAGAATACTTTTTGAGTCCATAACAAATACTTGTCATGCTATACTATTCTTCAGACATTAGAAAGTTCTTGCTACTGCCACTGTCTCTTATGCTGGATGTTGTTACTGCTACTGTTCTTTGCTTCTTTTATGGGCTCAAGTAACACATGGGTGTGTTTTATTAATTAGATTGTGCTGCATGTTCAACATGTATTACTTCACTAAAGCTGTTGCTGTGTATTTTTTTTTTACTTTAGATGAAGCTAAACAATATGTGGAAGTCAAAGGGATTTAGCTTGAAGACAAAACTCAGAATATACAAGAGCAGCATGTTAGGAATACTATTATACAACAGTGAATGTTGGAAAATGACAGCGGGAATTACACATAAACTTGACACTTTTCAAAATGTTTAAGGAGAATTTTACGAATATTTTGGCCAAACAAGATCACAAATGAAGAACTGAGGAGGACAACAGAATGTGCATCACTGGTGAATCTTATCAAAGTAAGACGACGGAGATGGCTTGGACATGTTTGCAGAATGCCTTGTGACACTGGCAAAAACAGCTCTCCGGTGGACAGCAGATGAGAAAAGGAGTCGTGCGCGACCTAAGGAAACCTGGAGAAGGACAATAGAACGGGAAATGAAGGAATGTAAACTAACATGGGATACCATGGGCAAAAAAAAAGCAGCAAACTGGCAGCAATGGAGATCACTTATGAATGCCTCATGTGTCAGCAGCAACATGAAGATGATATAGAAATAGATGAAGCCTATGTTATTTTGCTGTTAGTGGATGTGTATTTTTTATTGTATATTAACTCTTTTGGTACACCAGGCAGCTCATCATGCGCTTTTTAGTAATTCCTTACACAATGTTATTTTTTTTTTCACTTCCTTCTAATCTAAAGGGCCACCCCATAGTTGCTCCGCTCCTGTGCCATCGAAAAACACACAGAATGTCCACCTCTATCTCTTGTTGAAAAAATGGACACAGCATATCCATTAGCATACTCAAGCATTAAAAGCATAAGACAGCCATCATAAGACTAAAAACTGCCCGTGACTATCGTCCATGTTGACCTTGTATCTTGTTCTATTACTGTTTTAACAAGCTGTTCCTAGTCGTTAACTCATTGAGTTCCTAAGAATTATTATTTAAACCCTTTTAGACACGACACTGAATAATGTAAAGCAGTAGCTTCTTCTGATAGAGCAAGTTAAGAGTAACAGCTGTCTGAAAGAGTTAGAGCATGTTTTCTTGTCTTTTTTAGACTTACCGTGCACATTTAGAAGGGCAGAAACACAAGAAAAAAGAGGCAGCAATGAAGAAACGTCGACCAAAAGGCAGACATGCACAGCATCAGTTGAAATGTAAGCTTTGTGATGTAAACTGTACGGGGCATGATGCTTATGCAGCACATATTAGAGGTGCCAAACATCAAAAGGTAAATCACAGGAATACTTGAATTGCATATTTGTACATATTTACTCAATTTAGATTCATTTGCAACACCAGTTTTGCTTTCTGTTGTACAATTTTTAGTTTGCAATTTGTTGATGAATTTGTCCGCCTTCTGGTTATTCATTTGGTTGGTGTCTGTGTCCAGGGTCTCAGTGACATGGCCATTACCTATGTGTTTTTTCTTCTGGAAAGTTATATTCTTGCTAGAATTTCTCTTAGACTATTTGAGTGACATCTTTTGTTATTCTGTCTGTGGATAGTAACTGTTTTTTTTAAAAGATGTTGATTATTTTACTACCCAGTCTGGGAGTGAAAAGATGTTGATTATTTTACTACCCAGTCTGGGAGTGAAAAGATGTTGATTATTTTACTACCCAGTCTGGGAGTGAAAAGATGTTGATTATTTTACTACCCAGTCTGGGAGTGAAAAGATGTTGATTATTTTACTACCCAGTCTGGGAGTGAAAAGATGTTGATTATTTTACTACCCAGTCTGGGAGTGAAAAGATGTTGATTATTTTACTACCCAGTCTGGGAGTCTCTTCTTCTTTGAAGTGTTCACCATCTGTAAACTAAGGTGGCAGGTCCCGGTTGTTATTTTTCCATTTCTGGGCTTTTGTCTTGTTCCAGAATTTGAGTTTTGCATTCACATCCTTTTTTACAGATCTGATTTATTTGTATCCAGACTGTTCAATCCTCGCCTCTCGGGCAGGTAGGTGCACTTGGAAGGAAACACTCTTGATTAGTAGCCTGATACGCTTGTTTAGGAATGGGGTGGGTGGGTGCAGTGGGTCTTTTTTTCCCCCTCCTCAAAAAGGGGCCTTAGAATCAACACAGGGAAGTCAGGGTGTGAATTAGAATGTTAACAAAAAGTCACCATGTAGCAGAAAACACATTTTTTAAATTCAAGTTTATTTTCCCTAGTCTGAGACTACACTGCAAGACAGCAGGGTTGTGCCATTTTTTGTAAGGCTCTGTTCTTCATGGCAGCTCCTACCAGTAGCTGAGTTATCATCAGCATAGCTTTCGTGGTCACTGGAACTCACATGACCTTCAACAACACCAGGGTGAAGATACATCAGCATCAAAAGCATAAGGCAGCCATCAGAAATGTTAACACAAACAGTCCAACAGTAGAAATGCAGTTCATTATTGACGGAAGCAGCAGTTGCACATGCGATCAATTTTAATCACATAAGGCATCACCAATTCTCTTGCAATAGGACCATTTTCTGAATCTGCAGTTCACAACACCACGTTGGTACCAGTCGAAAAACATTGAAGATAAAATCTGCAGCTCACACTGTGGCGCCATGCATTCAACTCAGTAGCTATGCGACAAAACGATAACAAATTAATTCACCACAAAGTGATATATTTTGTAAACAAGAAGATTTGATTGTCATTCTGAGATGAAGACACATGAGAGTGGTAACAAAGAGTAATTCACTACAAAGTGATATATTCTGTAAACAGGATTTGCTGGACAGGGAGTGTTGTAAGTCTTTGCTGAAGAAAGTGAGCTGCTAGACATCAGATTGTTAGGAGACTGTGATTTGAGTTTTAACTTTAAATTTGACTTATAATGTCACCATTATTCCCCAGGTGCTAACATTACACACAAAATTAGGAAAACCCATTCCTTCTACGGACCCAGTTTTACCAGCGGCAAGCAAAGCTGCTTCCAAACGTAAACGTGCTGCTGCTGTGGCTGCCCTTGCCAAGGCTGTGATGGTATCGGCAACAGCGAAGATAAACTTTTTGGGTCAGTATTACATTTGATTGAAATACTTCTTTGGATAATTCAGTGGGTTTGAGCTTAGGGTTAAATTGTGTAGGTCGATTCATATGATGGTCACTGAATGAAAGCAGAGTTGTGTACTTGGTGTGTCTGGTCATTGATTGTGATGTGAGTGAAATATTAATTCTGTTTCTGCTAATTCTTCTTTGCGTTCACCGGCTATAAACTCCTGCGGAAAGTTCTAGTTGTTCGTCCACCTCTGGACTGCAGTCATGTTCCAGAACCTGAGTGTTGCGTTTGCATCCATTTGACAGATCTAATTTGTACGCAAACTGTTGGTTCATTGCCTCTCAGGCAGATGCACTTTGACTTCGAAGAAAGCTCCCAATTAGTCGACTCTTACTACATGCTTTTGGGTAGGCAAAAATGGTGAAAATATGGGGGTGACTGTAGTCAAGCTAATACAAGGAATTCCAGGGAAATTTGACTAAAAAGCTCAAAAAATGAGGAAGCAGAAAAACGGGCACAAAACAACACAACTTAACGTTTCGACCGGGCTTCCTTTTTCAAACATAAGTGAACTACACAAATGTAACAACGAGGATAATTTTTGGGTACGCAGTGGGTCTATTCTTGTTTTCCCTATAATAGGGCCCCGAAACCCACATTGCGATTTCTGCTAATTGAATAGGGCTAGATATATTATTAATTTACCGTGTATGATCACAGAATATATAAAATAGTGTTCATTCAGTGTGTCTGCTTGTTGAAAAAAACTAGAATAGTATTAATTCAGTCTGTCTGACAAGTGGATTAAAATAGTATTAATTGTTTGTCTGGGCATTAAATGAAACAAGAATAGTGTTCATTTTCACTCTGATCATCATTGAGTGAAACAAGAAGGATGTTAATTTAATTCACAGTGAGTGAATGAAACAAAAATAGTGTCAGTTCACTGTCCTGTCTGATTGTTGAATGAAACAGTAATAGTTTCAAATCTCTGTCCTGTCCGATTGTTAAATGAAACAAAAATAGTGACAATTAACTGTCCTGTCCGATTGTAAAATGAAACAGTAATAGTGTTAATTCACTGTCCTGTCCGATTGTTGAATGAATCAGTAATAGTGTCAATTCAGTGTCCTGTCTGATTGTTGAATCAAACAGTACTAGTGTAAATTCACTGTCCTGTCCGATTGTCAAATCAAACGGTAATAGTGTCAGTTCACTGTCCTGTCTGATTGTCGAATCAAACCGTAATAGTATCAATTCACTGTCCTGTCCGATTGTTGAAGGAAACAGTAATAGTAGTAATTCAGTGTGTCACATCTCAGTACCAATTTAAATGTTTGTCTATTAATTGCAAACCGTCTCTCTCTTGACCTGCCAGTCTTGTACAGTCTTGGCCTGATGGCTTAAGCTGCTATTTAAGTGCAGAATAATGACTGCAATAATTGCCTTAAGTGGGCCCTTAAATAGCTGCAGATGCAGTACTCTGTCACAGTATGGACAGATCAATTATCTACCAGAAATAATAAAATCTGTTCAGTCTTCACAGTGAAGATTGGCTTCAGTGTTGCACTGTTGTCTTTGATGACGTGGTGAGGCCCTAATTTCTTCCACAGCACGACTCTTGTAGCATTGTCCGAACACCACAGGAAGCGTTTTCTCAAGTCCCTGCAGAGATCAAACCCTAGTACTTGAGGATCATGAAATTGTTAACCGTAATTTCTAGCTTCTAAGCCACGAAGCTGCACAAAAGGTTGACTTAAATCTTTTGGCCACTGCAAAAGTAGTTAAGCACTTTATATTTTACCTTATTCCACTGTATTTCCTAATTCAACTATTTTAAAATCATTTATGTCCTTATTTTTGTTTGATGATGAAAACTGGTCGCAGCATCCTCAAGTTGTTGTGTTCCTGTATATTAGATGTTTTTCACATCATACCATTGTTTTCCTTGTTCCTTTCTCTTACTCATCTCTCACCCCACAGTTCTACCTTTGTGTTGTGATTTATCAGGATGATAAAAACTTGTTTTCTCTATGTCTTGTACATTCCAATTCCTTTTTAGAAAAAAAAAGAAAAGCTTTACCACGTTCAGACTGCTGCTAGCTAGCCGAGGCTGCTAGCAGTCTCCGCCTATATTTGTGGTCTGGGTTATTTGCGTCACTTTCGTGACTGAATTCTAGTGTTTGTGCCATTTCTGGGCTTGATGCTTCCATCCAAATTAGACCGCATGTCTTCCACCCTGTTGTTACTTGTGCATGTCTTCCCTCGTCTTACTTAGTTAGTGTTTCTTGTACATTTTGTCACACATGATTTTGTCTACTTGAGAGGTGAGGAACTAACATGCTGTATACAGATAAGCCAGATCTGTAAAATGGATGTGCAGGCTGCACACGAGTTCAGGAACAAGGCTGAAGTCTACAACAGACAAATAACCAGTACTTTTCTCCTGGGTTTACATCTGGTGAATGCTAAGAAGATAGTCAGTTGACCACATCTCTTCTTATTTGCGTTCACATTCTGTAAGCTACGGCGGAAAGTTCTGGGTTGTTTGTCTAAACTCTGGACTTAAGTCTTGTTCAAGAACTTGTGTTTTGCATGCACATCTGTTACAGATCTGATTTGTTTGTTTGCAGACTGTTGGTTCCTTGCCTCTAAGGCAGATGCACTCTGACTTCGAAGGAAGCTTCTCATGACCAGCTTGTTGGGGAGGCAGTGGGTCTATTCTGTTTTCTCCACAAAAGGCCCTAGAACCCACACAGGGAGCTACTGACTTCACCTTTACTTTTAATATAGCTACAGTTTTGTATGACCTTTGTTTTCTCAGGTGGGGATCAGTTGAAAAGTGTGGGTGGGAAAGTAGCCGAAAAAACAGAAGTTACTGCCAGCAGTGATATATCCACTGTCAACAGTAGCACAGAGAATGCTGTCACTATGTCTGATGAAGAAGGTAACTCAGAGAGAGAGTGAGTGAGAGTATTTGTGTCTTCATGTAGGTATGTCATGAGAGAATCATTACGTAATATATTATCATAACGTATATGCTTATAGTTTCTACTGTTTTGAGGATAGCCTTGGTAATGTAGTAGTTGTGTGGGTAACATTGTGATTGTGTAGGCTATGTTATGGTCGGTGGTTAGCATGTTAGCTATTTGGGTAACATTTTGGTTGTATGGATAGCATATTGGTTGTGTGGATAGCACTTAGATTGTGTAACATTGCATTTGTGTGGATAATGTTGTGGTTAGCATTTTGGTTGTGTGGGTAACATTGTGGTTGTATGGATAGCATGTTAGTTGTGTGGGTAACACTATGATTGTGTGAGTAACATTGCGGTTGTGTGGATAATGTTATGGTTGTATGGTTAGCATGTTAATTGTGTGGGTAGCATTGTGGTTCTGGGGGTAACCTGCTAGTTGTTTGGGTAACCCTACGGTTATGCTTCAAGTGTTTGTAGATCGGCCTGTATATGATCTTTTCACTGTTTCCACAGTTTTCTACTGCCATTCAGTTTTGTGTGTATACAGTTTTTGTCTCTGTTATCTGCCAATCTCTCTATGATTACAGTCTTTTAGTCCTCTTATAGTGTCATTTAAACAGTTGATTAGCCAAGGCTATTTGCAGTTTGTTTGTTTACACTTGGTTTGTATATTGCAGGTGATGCTGCTTTCGATCAAGATGTGGCACCTGTTGGTATGACAGCTTATTGATTTTATTTTGTATTTGGGATGTCTTATCGCATAATCTATACATTTTAGAAGCTCAGACATTACAGAAATATTTTAGAAATAACAGTTTTCCCTAGTAGTTAGAAATGTGCACATTCCAGTGCTTTTATTGAATATTTTGATAATGTTAACTATTATTTGACGTATGAATGAAATTATGTCTGAAAGGAGGGAGACTAGAAGGGCAGAATGTTAGACGGGCCTGCCTGCCCAATTCTGAACCTTTTGAAAATAAAGTTTGTTTGTTCGTTTGTTTGTCTATCAGTTTCATACTTCAGAACATTGCCGTGTGTGCAGTCGTTTACATCATGTTTCATCATCATGTAGCAGGTCCTCTCGAGGACGTTGCTCTCATCACAACCAGTCTGAAAGAAACTCTTGTCTCGCGCCAGCCTCCCCCCTGCCCCCCCCCCCCGAATATTGGGAAAGGGGGAGGGGGGGGGGGAACAACATAATCTTCTTAGTGTTTATCGTCTGTAAACTCCAGAAGACTGTTCTGGTTGTTCTTCCACTTCTGAACTTTGGTCTTGTTCCACAACTTTAGCTTTGCATACACATCTGTTTTACAGATCTGGCTTATTTGTATACAGACTGCTGGTTCCTCACCTGTAAGGCAGATGCACAACGACTTTGACAGAAACACCCCTAATTAGTTGCCAGAGTACGACATGCTTGTGAAGGTCCCGGGTTCAGATCCCGGCTTGGCTGCCATTGTTATGTGTGTTCTCTAGGAGGTAATGCATCCTACCAAGCACCCAGGGTGTCTGACTCTCACGAGCACAGACAAGAGCTTCCTCAGATGACAGACAAAACAACTGTTAGGTTCCTACAGGAGTGCAAGGAGAAGCTAACAACAATAGGAGCACCAGGTCTGTTATTTTTTCCCTCTCAAAATGTTGCTCTGAAACCCACAGGAGGAGCAGCTGTAGAGGTGCACCAGGGTCAAGGCTGATACTGGTCAAGGCTTGTCTACACCTCTCTGTGATGTCCTGGAAACTGTAGAGGTGCACCAGGGTCAAGGCTGATACTGGTCAAGGCTTGTCTACACCTCTCTGATGTCCTGGAAGCAGGTTGTGGGAGCTGTAGAGGTGCACCAGGGTCAAGGCTGATACTGGTCAAGGCTTGTCTACACCTCTCTGTGATGTCTTTCAAACAGGTTCTAGGAGCTGGCCAGTGTAGATAGGAGTCACGTTTCCTTAGAAGTTGCAGTACATCTGCCAGACGTGTTGTAGATGTGTTTCCTTCGAAGTCGGAGTACATCTTCCAGACGTGTTGTAGATGTCTTTCCTTCGAAGTCGGAATGCATCAATCTTCTTGCAGTTAAACTATTGTTAATATTTATGTTTAAATTATTACAATTATTGATGTTTTAATATTTCCTGCAGGGCATGAGTATATAGAGCAAATCAAAAATGAATTAGGAAAAGTGATAAGCTTTAACTGCAAACTCTGTGACTGCACGTTTAATGACCTGAATGCTGAAGAGATGCACTTGAAGGGTCGGCGTCACCGCCTTCAGTACAAGGTCAGTCAGATGAGTAGTCAAATTGATCTTTTTTCTTTTTCCCAGGTACTCACATATCTCATCAGTATGACGCTGAAATGAGAGACTAATAATAACATAGCTGATCTTAGGAAAAAAAAAAGTAACTGAAACTGAATACATGGACACAGATCAAAGCTATGTTTGTGGTGTTTGTAGTCTTCTTCTTCACATTCACCGGCTGTAAATTCCAGTGGAATGTCCTAGTTCATCCATTTCTGGACTTCAGTCATGTTCCAGAACTTGAATTTTGCATGTACATCTATTTTACCTATCTGGCTTATGTGTATGCAGAGTGTTGTTTTCTTGACTCAGGCAGATGCACTCTGATTCTAAAGGAAACACCCCTAATTAGTCACGTTTTACAATGTGCCTTTTAGGGAGGCAGTGCATCTACCCCCTCCCCCATCCCCCCCACAACTTTTCCCCACAAAACAGGGTCCCTGAAACACACCTGGAGAGATGTGTATAGAGAAAGAGCTTTTGTGTTTTGAATCCAAACAAGTGTAAAAAGAACTGCTTGAAATGTATGACAAAATTATCAGGGTAATCACAGGTGAAACGAGTGCCATACCATGCACATCTAAAATGATACTGATTTTGACATTGGAGGGTTGTTTGTGAAGAATCTGTTTCTTAGCTTGCTATTAGCATTCAGTGAAACCAAGCAGAGTTGATCAGTCAATTATCAGTCAATTGGAATGGATTAATCTGTCATCAATTGGGCTGTACATGCATGACTTGTATAAGGTTGTCATAACACTGGAGAGGTACTGCAGGAGTCAGATACCTGCCACCATTTACACGGCGAGATTAGGTCACTGACTGATCAGCATTCACGCCCAGAAGACGTCATCATTTACACAGATGGGTCCTTAAAGCGTTGATCAAGATCGGCATGGGCATACACAAAGGATGGGGAAAACAGTAAAAGAGGATAGCTGTGCTTACCAGCCAACTACGTCAAGCATGACCATGAAGGTAACTGCTGCTTCCAGAGCACTTCCATGGGTAGCAGAATAAGCGACCACAAATGCAGCAATTGTTTCAGAATCTATAAACATGCTTCAGAAAATTGCTACAGGGAGTCTATGCTCCGAAAGAGTAGAAAGCATTTGAAAGTCGCAGTTAACCTCCATCATCTGGATCTACACACCTGGGCACGCAGGAGTATATGGTAATGGAAGAACTGACCAGCTGGCAAGTAATGCACCAGTGCAGACGGGAAGAAGCATGGGCAGTGCTGATATTATCAACGCTGTATGGACTAGGTTGAGGGATAACGTCGAATTTCTGCCGCTAACAAGACTGTGTGTGACCGAAGTTCAAGCTTGTTGAAGCCCGTCTGTGTCATCTTCGAGGTAAAAACAATAGATATACCATATCTAACTCCTGATGGGAACATTCAGTAGATGTACCTTGGAGTGGCTGCTGCATCAGAGGACTGAGCACTCATGGGATGCCCAATGAGCAAAGACATTGATTGTGATAACATAACATCCATTGTGCTGTAATATAGTGGATCCTATCACAATGCGCTATACCTGGAAATGCACTGGGTGATATTAGCAAATGAAGACTTCAGCCCAAATAGTTTAATGAGGCCATGAGATATAAAAGAACACTTGGCAATCAGAGCATCCAGCCATCTGGAGGATGATATCTATTACGAACTCATCCATAGTAAACAAGTTACAGTCTTCAGACAGGAATGAAATACAACTTGTTTAATAAACTATAGGTAGAAGATTGTTGTGTGCTATGAGCTACAACTAGCCAGCACACTACCAGGCGTTTAGCACGTACACTTTTGCTTCCTGTCTTAAAAACAGAACTCGACGACAATGACTCCGTCATCCATTTTATTCAACAGGTTACATGACACAACTGCAGAGCCATAGCTATTGATCCCAATTAACATTGCCCATAGTCCATTTAGTCAGCACTCGCTCTCTCTTAACTTGAAGTGACCTCTCCCTGACCACTACAGCTCTAAGGGCCTACAGCGTCCACAACTCTTGGCACATCATACAGCTGAATAAGACGAATTCTCCTATCCACTGGACCTTGATATTACTTTGACAGACAACTACGGCTGACTGAAGACGGACTTCACTTGCCCGTTCTCCAAAGCACACAGCCTGTCGAAGGACTCCGATGACCGACAGGACTTCTAACACAAGTCCCCTCTAGCACACAGCTCTCATCAGCATTCCCCCCCCCCCCCCCCCTCCCGTTCTGTTTCCATAGTGACCTTACATCTCCTCGCGTCGTCACCCAGAACAGGTACTATTGGAGCATCCTGTCCCCTTGGACTTACTTCACCAGCGGGACTATACCTTCGACCAGTACGGCAACCTCAACCCTTACTCAGACCTTAATGCCTGATAGTTGCACGGTACTCTGGTCTGCCTTCACTAAACCCTTGCGCAGACCTTGATGTCTGATGGTTTCTCAATACTCTGTCTTGTACCCTAACTGACTCGCAGCACTCTCGTGCTGGGTGTGTACTACACCCGCACTACCCCAGTGCTTTAGCCCTGTGGCTACAGCTCACTGACTTGGACTGTCTATGCAGCCCAATTTATCCCTGAGAGGCACGCTCGTGTGAGCGTTCTCGGGAAACATGCTCATGTGGGTTTTCTGGAGACTCACGTCCAAGGAAACGTTCTCGAGTATCACACTTATGTGTGTGGCTGATGTTACATGAGAATCACGCTGTCACGTAATACACCCTTTCTCTGTGGGTCCAGTTATCCATGCCTGTCAACCCCCACACAGTAAACCCACACGTCTACTTTCCCGTGCGTGCAGGCCTTGTGCATGATAATCCATTTCACTGATCAACACTCTCTCCCCTCAATAGTCGAGTCGAGCCAATGTTGACATTTATTCCCTATGAACTCACAGAAAGTACTCTCATACCACTCTGTCCCTTTACACAATATTACACTCTCCCAAATCAGCACGCAACAGAGATGCTGGTGAATGCAACTGTGGCATTGAAAAAAAAATGGTGGCTGATGTGTTGTATGAGTGTCCAGCTTGTGCAGACCTAGAGGTTGCCCATGCAATAGACAAGGAAAAGTACTCGGCATATGCAAACAAAACTTATTTGGCTTACATCTTTGTTGTTGGAGGGAAAACTATTCTTCTTCTTCTTTTGTCAAAATCTGCTTGTGCCGCTAGGCGTTGCAGTCTATCAGATGATCGGCAACCGAGCCAGGGCGCGCTCAGTCGCTTCATATACCGTGATGTTATGAAGTCTCAAGTAGTCCGTGACTCCTTCAATCCATCTTCTTCTTGGTCTTCCCCTGCCTCTTGGTGTTTCGATTTTCATGTTGTATGCTCTTGATGCTGGCATCGTTGGTTCCATTCTCATTAGGTGACCAAACCATTTCATTCTTTGCTTCTCAATAAACTATGATGTCAGCAATTTCAAATTTACCGTTTGAAAAAAAACACCCACTATATATACGGTTTTCTTCTAAAAGATGCACTAAGAAGGGATGAAAAACAGTGCACAAATAAATTGGAAAAAAATCAATTATTCGTCAATTATGTATATTGATTTCTGTAAATTTGCTACAGAAAAAGGTAGATCCCAGCCTGCCAGTTAACGTGAAGCCAAATCTTCGTGGCAGAAAAATCCAGGAAGAGAAATTGCGTAGGAAGGCGCAGAAGGAAGAGAAATTGCGTAGGAAGGCGCAGAAGGAAGAGTATTGGAGGCATCGAGCGCAGCTGCGTTTAGCTGTGGAAATGAGGTAATTACGTTTAATTCTGTCTGTATAGTCAGTTGTTACTTGGTAATCCTAATTGTCTAGGTCATGAGACATCAAAGAAATATCTGTTTCTGCTAATGTTTGACTATCTAACATTTTTTGAAAGAAATTCATTATCTTTTCAGTAATTATTAGTCTTTCTGCGGCTGTCGATAAGACTTAGATAAGAAGCATATCGTGGATATTTGCAGAGGACATTCAAGTGTTTGTGGTTATTGAGCTTGTGTCACAGACATATGCACTCGTGCATGTGTGTGTGTGTGTGTGAACACACGCACGCACGCGCGCGCTCTTGAACAGAGAAAGAAAGAGAGACAGAGAGACCACTTCACACTGTCTTGCACTCGAGCTGTGTATAGGGAGCTACTTTAATATGTCCCTACTCACAGTAGCTCCCGTTCAGTTGTAATAAAGAATGCCAAACAAATATCTGCCATCATAGCATGAAGAATATATTAAGTACATGGATTCCATTAAAACTCGGACGCACCTGGTGAATTTTTACAGGGTTGTAGTCAGTCATCCTTCTGCCCATGTAGAGACACCACACTGCAAGACTCCACCTGTATAATCTATGCCCAGATGGCTGCTACTGACAACTTGGTCAGATTGCGCAGATCCACCTTTCCGTGTTTCTTCCTGACTGTCCCTCTTACGTCTCCTATATTTCCTGATTTGTCGCCAGTTGAATAGTCCTGAGCTACATTGTGCCAGTCTGTTAAAAGATAAGTAAGAGACACTGTTTACACCAGTGGAGCATTGCACATATGATGCTAGAATCATAATTTTAAAGACTCAGTTATCACTCAGTGGGTGCTAAGGTCACTGACATGATGGCCGCCTTTACTTTCGGGAACATCACCTGATACCTAGTTTAGGCTAGTGTGACTTGCTGTTAAAAGACAAGAAAACTTCTTTGTTGTTTTGCTGAAATCGGATGTGTTGGGCCAGTAAAACATGGCTGTAAACATAACATAACATAACTACTGCGCTTTAAAAGGGCAAACATGAAAGAAGATGAAGAAGAACATGTTGCTTTTTAATGCATATGAGAGGTGTCCTAAAACAACACCAGGTCTTACACTTGCTGCAGCCTTAGAAATGTTGAGAATATACATCTTACCTCTGACAGTATTCAGAGGTGAATGATGGACTGTTTCCCAAAGACTAAAGAATGAAATCAAGAATTTTCGACTTTAATTTTGCAGAATATTTCTTTGATCACGAAAAAGAAAAGTACTTTGTAAGTGAAGACTGAATATTTAGTCAGCACATTGAATTATCTTGTTACAACTTTTTAATTGCCTTGTTACAACTTGTTGAATTGCCTTGTTACAACTTGTATTTGCAGAATGGAAGATCAGATATACTGGGGTCATCGCCGCATGGAAATGTTTGGGCCCTTGTATCCAGGGTTTACAGACTGGTCGCCAATGAGACCAATGGGGCCCATGCTTCATCCACCATACCCTTTACCCCCAGGACCCCCATTGCCTCTAGTGGTAAGCTATGCAGAAACATTATCTAACAGTCATTTGTATTTCGTCTTCTCTTCTCTGAGGTATAGAGAGCACCTGCTGTTTCTTTTGACACAGTCACACAGTTTTATAGTCACAGTTGATGTTTAAAAAAAAATATGTTGCTGTTGTTTCTAGATATTTCACAGTGTGTTAATTTAACATACTGTGTTCTCCCTCTGAACCTTAGAATGGATGTTGATGGGACAGGTCCGAAGTGCTGGACTAGATTCCATTGATGATGTGAAAGCATAGCACAGGATAGAATCGAATAGAGGAATATGCTGCGAGCCCTAGGTGACCTTTATTGGAACAATAGGAAGATTATTCTCTCTCTTGACACTGGTTTGAAGGCTGATAGCAATAAAGTACTTACATTTCCATGAAATACTTACATTTCCATGAAATATTTACATTTCCATGAAATACTTACATTTCCAACCTAGGCCTAATATCCCCACCAGAAAAGTGGAGAAGTTTATGTCATTATGTCAGATTTTCTAGCCGCAGCATTTATTTGTCGTTTGTGATTGTGATGATGTAAAGCTGACTTCCCGTCAGTTAGTAGGATAGGCAGGTTTACGGTTCTTAATCTTGTTACGTTTGTTTCTGATGACAACAGTTAGCCTTTGCATTTTCCTCCATATGTAGACTGAGCGGATTTAGTTTCGTCGCCCAGCTACTGAGTTGAATGCCTGGCTTCACACTAAGTGATGGATTTGCTTTGCAATGCTTTTTGACTGTACCCATGTAGTTTGTAAACTAGATTTAGAAAATGGTGAGTGGCGTGTTGCCACAGAACTGGTGGTGCCTTATGTGATTAATTGCGTGTGCAGCTAGTGACTTTTTGTAACTGCTGCATCCATTGATGATGGATTGCATTTCTTCTAGTGTCAGACTGTTTGTGTTGGCACTTCTGACAGCTGTTTTATGCATTTGCTATTGAATTTGCTGAGACTGCAGTATGTATCAATTTTTACACAAGAGGCAGTGATAAAACATTCTGTGTTGTTTCTTTGGTTCAGTAATAGAGCATATATGGTGTTGTGTGCTAAATTGAGTCAGCACACTACCAAGTGTACTCTTCAGCTTCCTTTCTTAACAAGACAACTCGACGACGATGACACCGTCATACAAGTTTATTTAACAGGATACATGACACAAATGCAGAGACGTAGTTATTGATCACAGCTGACATTCGCACATCGTTCATTTGTCCTCACAGCTCTCTATCTCTCAATGTGTAGTGACCTCTCCTGGACTACTACAGATACCAGGATGACGGCGTCCCACTCTCTGGACGCGTCGTACAGCTGAACAGGACGACTTCTCCCATTCACTGGACCTTGATATTAATTCAGCATACAACAGGGCTGACTGGAGACGGACTTCTCTTGCCGTACTCCGAAACCAGGCACTACTGGTCTTCCCGTCCCCTGGACTTACTGTGCCAGCGGGACCATATTTTCCATACCGCAATCCCGACACTTACTCAGACATAAATGCCTGATAGTCGTACGGTATTCTAGTCGGTTAGACTCCAATGACCGACAGGACTTCTACCATAAGTCCTCTCATACTTTTGACATGTACCGCAATCTCGACACTTACTTGGACCTAAATGCCCGATAGTCGTACGGTATGTTTGTCTGTTAGACTCGAGAGATTACCTGGACCCTGACTTGGTCTCTGACTCTCGTTTTCTCTCTCTTCTCGCTTCTCGCTCTATCTTGACTGCTGCCGAGGGGCTTTAGCCCTCAGGCTACAGCTCACTCTCTGGACTGTCTACGCAGCCCAATTTATATATGTCGAATCCGTGTAGGTGGATGGTGATTACACGAGGGGCACGCTTGTGTGGGCGTTCTCGTGAATCATGATCCTGTGGGTGTTCTCGGGACTCGCTCATGTGAGCATTCCCGAGGATCACGCTTATGTGGGTGGCTGATGTTACCCGAGAATCACGCTGTCACTTAATTCACACTTTATCTCGTTATCCACGCTTTCAGCCCACCACACAGAATCCTACGCGTCCACTTTCTCTTGTGCAAGCACGCTTTGTTCATGAATAGACGTTTTCACTGGTCTCCTCTTAATACTCGGATCATATTGACTCTCTTTCCTCGTGAACTTACAGGAAGTACAGGCATACCATTGTCCCTTCCCCCAATATCACACTTAACCCAAATCAGCGCGCAACATATGGGGTAACCCATTTGCTATGAAGTTTGAACTGCTTTTACCTGTTACGTTTTACGTGACTAGTTCTACAATATCTTTTTCGGATTATGAAATACTTTCCAGCCTAAATTTATCTATTACTGTTTGCACTTATTGTTACACTTATATATTGCTCAGTGTTGTATTCAGTTATTGTTACTTTCATCTGTTATGATATTCATTTATTGTTGTAATTATTGTATATTCATCTGTTGCTGTATTCACTTATTGCTGTGAGCATCTATAGCTGTATTCATTTATTGCTGTACTCATCTATAGCTAAAAAACTGAATAAATTATGGAGTGGGACAGACAGAACTTCAAAAAGATTTATGAGATCATGTATCTTTTCAGTTGCAACAAACGCCTATGAGACCTGTACACTTCTTACTAAACAAGCTGAACAGCGCATAAATGCCTTTGAATACAAATGTTACAGACAGCTTCTGAAAATGGGTAAAGATAAGAAAAATGCATCAATAATTCAAGAACTGAATATTAGATAAGGTTGGCTATTAAAGATGATAAAACACAGAAAATTGAAATGTTTTGGTCACTTAAAATGTCATGAAAATTTAGAGAGAACAATGGAGGGGTATATGCCTGGGAAGAGAGGAAGAGGAAGGCTTAAGAGAAGACGGGTGCAGGATGTGGCGGATGGTCTCCAGATGGGTTTATTGGATGCGGGACATCTTGCTTCTGATCAAGAAGTTTTTTTGGAGGGTTGCTATGGGAGCAAGGTTCTGCAAGGGACATTGTACAGATTGACTGACTCTACAGACTGACTGATATCTGTAGCTGTTCTCATCTATAACTGTACTCGTCCATAGTTGTGCTCTCTTGTATTCTTTTATCGCTGTATTCACTGTAAAAACTGTCACTACTGTCTGTTTTACACTTGTTAGGGCGGTGTAGACAGGGGGACCTAGAATAAAATAAAAGTTACATTTTATAAAGTGAAAGTCTTGAACTGAATGAATGTAAATTCACAGATACCACGCCCGGAGTCATTTGATGACAGGCATGTTATGATGAAGCACCACTCAATTTACCCAACAGAGATTGAAGTAAGTTTGTTTTTTCCCCCTTTCATTTAAACATCCTTTTCTAAAGTTTTAATTTTGAATGGAAAACTTTTTTGCCGCCTTATAGGAAGGGCAAGACTAAGAGGTTTGGGTGTTCATCTCTGACTCAAGTTCTGGAACAAGCTAACGTCCAGAAGTGGATGAACAACCACAACCTTCTCCTGGAGTTTACAGCTGGTGGATGTGAAGAGGAGAACTAGCTTGCATGTTAGTATTTACGTTTCCCTCGGTGGGTTACTGTGCCCCATTTTGGAGTGGGAGGATGGGGAGAGAATAGACCCACTGCTTCCTACACTCGTAACAAGCATGTTGTACAAGACAACTAATTAGGGATTTGCTGAAAACAAATGTGTTCATTTGAAAGATGCAGATATCACAGCCTTGCTGTAAACCATGGCACATCATGACAATCACGCTTGTGGGGGTAAACAAGGACAAAGAAGAAAACTAGCTGGCATGTTAGCAATTACTTCCTGCCACCCCTGTTAGTGTATGTTGATGTTGTGCTCAGTTAAATGTCTGATGTGTAGAGAGGGTAATCTGTCAGTTAACTGACTGACTAACATGCTTTCAATTTAAGATGCTGATAACAGTGCTTGTGTTTCAGCTGGAAGCAGTTCAAAACATTGTCTCCTCTTGTGAAAGGGCCCTAAAGTTAGTCTCAGATTATCTGACAGAAAGGTAAGTTCACCCTGAAAACAGTGGTTGGCATGTTGTGGTTTACAGCTGATTTAAAGTTGGGGGGGGGGGGGGGCGCTGTATATGTATCATAGAGAATATGTCTTCTTCATTATCATTCATCTGAGTGACATAATGCATTATGCCTGTTTGCAGCATTGCTGCGATATTTGCACTTTTTGGCCGACGCATCAAACTTATTGGGTATTTGTTGTTTACTGGGTTAGCCTTGGTTTCATGGGATGTGACGTAGCTTTACTTGTGCGGCGTCCTCTTTGTCCCTTTATCTGCAGATGTTGCCCCTGAAGGGCAACCGCTTGTTGACTTGTCAGCCCTGAAAGGGAAAGCAGATCTTGGAGGTTTCCATAAATGAGGAGCTGACACATGATGCTTTTCTGATCCTTGGCTCACCCAAGGAATCGTCACTCATTGCACATGACTGCTTAACCTCACATCTGTATGTTGAGCTTTCCCCTCATCACTGGCTGAGATTGTGTGTGTGTGTGAGTTCCCGGCTGAAAGTTCTGATTGTTTCTCTACTTTTGGACTTTAGTCTTGTTTTAGAACGGGCGTTTTGTGTGCACATCCATTTTAAAATGTGGCTTATTTGTATTTAGACTGTTGGTTCCTTGCCTTTCAGGCAGATGCACTCCGACTTCGAAGTGAACACCCCAAATTAGTCAGCTCTTTTGCAACATTCTTGTTGGTGGTGGTGGAATGGAAGCACTAGGTTTATCCCCCCCCCCCCCCCACACCCCCTTCCTCAGTGGGACCTTGGAACGCACATGTGGGGTCTAGAATAATGTAATGACAAAACACTTCACAGCTCAGTGACTCTGTCAGCTATGACAGTGCCTTTATCTTTTATGCTAGGCTGAGCACTTGTTTGCTGTTAGAATAAGATCACAGTATATTGGGCACATCCTGAAGAGCAGTAGATATAGAATAATTTAACAGGCATTGAAACTAGAAACAAGTGAATGAAGGGAACACTAAAATGAACATTGCTGAGAAAGGTTTAAAGTTCTGGACTGGATTCCTTCCATGATATATCAAAAGGATTGCACAGCTTTGTATCATGTAACTGTGTGAGAGAATGCTGATGAGGAACACATGTTTAAATGTATGGAGAACAATAACATAAATTATGGTACATAAAATAATAAAGTATATCATATACACCTTAGAATTTGCAAGAAGATGAAAATGGCTGTATACCATTCTGTATATTGACAGTCCTGACCTATGGGTGTAAGTCATGGACAGTGATAACAGCTCACAGAAGCCAGCTTCAGGCCTCAGAAATAAGTTATCGGGAAAGGTGGTGGTTCAAGCGATACAGTTTGCAACCAAACAATCCGTCATGGTCTTGAAACTCAGGTCTGACAAACTTGAATAGATCAGTGACATTTATGATGGTTTGGGGAATTGGAAGATAATCAGCCACCGTGGCAGGCATGAGAGGCCAAGGACTAGGGAAAGCCAGACCTCCGGGTCGACCCAGGGAAGACAACATCTGACAGTTCCTGACTGACAGAGGCCTGGAATTGAATCCAGCAACAAAGAAAACTACTCACAGAGAAGTCTGGCAGTCTCTGTGGCAAATCTCTGCACCCCAGGATAGAAGATGATCGACTAAGTAAAGTTATTAAAGTATAAACCACTTAGAAATAGATATGTGGCCAGGAGATTAATTTTAACATATTTATTGTGTATTTTGTAGCATTTGTTAGAAGTTATCACTGTGTGTTTTTGTTGTTGTTGCAGCAACAAAACGGAGGAGAATCCAACGCCGAATCGTACATTGAAAGGAGTTATGAGAGTCGGGGTCTTGGCTAAAGGTCTTCTTCTGCACGGTGACCTGAATGTGAATCTGGTTGCACTGTGCTCAGAAAAGCCAACAAGAACTCTGCTTGAGCAGGTCGCAGAAGCCCTACCAAAACAACTGGCTGTGAGTTTCTGACTGATGATATGTTTAAAAGTTGATGATGTTAGATTGCATATATCGAAGTAAGCTGACTACAGGAAAGCCTTTTTTTTTTTTTTTTGCCATGTTTACCTTGAAACAGATGGTTGGCACATTGTGTTGTGCTTTTTTGACCCCCCACAAAAGATCAAATTTGAGCAAAACTTCATTAGTTGCATTTTATGACATGTTTGTTAAGGTGAAATGCCTCCCTCCCTCTTTCAAAACCTAGAGAAAGTAAAGCTAGGAAAATGTGTGGAGTGAGGGAGGGGTTGAGAAACCATGAACAAACTTTTTTTTTAAAATATAAAATTTAAGAAGAGGACACATGACATACATACTCACACACACATACAAACATACATACGCTCATACACACATGAATGCATACATACATGTGACACATACAGAAAGGCACTCGGGCACACATACACAGACATGCTGACACACACACATGGCCAAACACACACAGGCAGCAGACTCATAAACAGACTCACACTGACAGACTCACACAGACATACACACACTGACATACACACACATACATGAACAGACACACACAGTCATACACAGACACACACACACACACACACACACATAAAAGGCAGAGACACATACAAACACATACAAACAGTCACACCAAGAGAAAAAGTGAGAGAAAGAGAGAGTGAGTGAGTGGATCAGAGAAAAATAGAGTGAGTAAGTGCTCTTATGCGTCATATAAAGCTCATAGTCTAGTCCATTCAGAAACAACAGAATGATGAGAGTAATACAGAGATTAAATATCCATTGTGTATTATGTGTGTATGTAAAGTAAATGTATCTGTGAATGAATGCATTTATCAAATCATTCTTTCAAGTTTGTGGGCAATATACATATGATATAAATTTTGCATTATTCATAAAATACAGTTTTTGTGTGAAAGAAAAGTATCAAGAAGGGTAAATGTAAAATTGACCTGAATACCCAATATGTGATCTTTTAAAAAACAAAAGTTTGTTTGTTCCTTCCACCATACTGTATTGTAACTTTTAGATGACATTTGTGTGTGTGTAGACTGTAACAGGTGAACAGTTTGAGATCCGCACGTGTGTTGAGGAGAGTGCCATCATAGTAAGCATTGATGTGGAACCAGCAGTGACCTGCATTGTCACTTTGACATCCCCCTTGATGAGAGAAGCTAAAGTGTCAGAAGCAGGTAATCTATTACCCACTGGAACTGTTTAAATGTGTATATAATGTTCTAGAGAAAGACAAGGAGCGAAGATTTGTGACAGTCTTTTGTTCTGACATGGAAATGGGTCCGCGCATTAACTAGTGTGAGCTGTTAGAGAGAGTAGTATTTTGAGAAGAATGATCACCCTATGCTAGTTTGATGATACTGATAATATAAGACATTCAGATGTCTCTCTTCCAGCAAAACAGCAAATGTTAAACAGCATCTACATCCCTACTTCATGCTATCAGTGCCAAACCTGGACAATAAATAGAGCACTAGAGCAGAACATAACTACCTGTGAAATGTGCTGTCTTTATAAGGTTACTGACAAAACAAGAAGGGACAGGGTTATGAGTTCTAGCATTAGAGAGAGAGATGGAATAAGGCTGTGTCTGAATTATATTAACAGACAAAGAATGAAATAGTTTGGCCATCTAGTGAGAATGAAAAGACCAGACTGCAAATAAGATTTTTTACAGCACAAAATCTGGGACGAAGGTGAGGGAAAGACCAAGAAAGAGATGAAGCCTACAAAATAAATTTATCACCCAAGCCAACCAAAAATAACAAAACGAATACAGAAAACCGTGACACTGGGCTACAATCTGGTATAAGTAAAAGAACAGAAGAAGATTTTATTATTTAGGTATTCATGGACAGTACAGCAAAGTTTGTGGATTGATACCTGAGTACAACATTTGTGTGTGTGTAGGCATTTGCATGAGGGAATAAAAAAAAAGTATTTATACAAGAATGATGTCTCCAATTGTCCCATGAGAATTAAACTTTAATCTGGGAATTGAATCTTACATTTGTCATTAGAAATGCCTCTCAAACCCTATTAAAATACACACTAAAAAAAGATGATGTCATAAGCAGGCTTAGGAAACAAAAGTCAGCACCATGTAGGCCGAAGGAAACAGCTGCAACAACCATTGTGGTGGACTGATGAGGTTGGGTCAACATGGGTACTTAAAAGATATGCTGAAGAAATCTGGCAGAAAGCAGTTAAAGCCTCTGAATCTACTGCGGGAATACAATTAGACCATGCAGACCACAACAGCAGCCTTCAGAGCAGTTGCCCAGCAAGCTGTACATGACCGGGTCAGACATACAGAGTAGTGACCCCAGAATGAACAGGACTGTACACGACCTGGTCAGACACACAGAGTAGTGACCCCAGAATTAACAGGACTGTACATGACCTGGTCAGACACACAGAGTAGTGACCCCAGAATTAACAGGACTGTTAACAACCGGGTCAGACACATGGAGTAGTGACCCCAGAATGAACAGGACTGTACACGACCGGGTCAGACACACAGAATAGTGACCCCAGAATGAACAGAACTGTACACAACCAGGTCAGACACACAGAGTAGTGACCCCAGAATGAACAGGACTGTTCAGGACCGGGTCAGACACACAGAATAGTGACCCCAGAATGAACAGGAGTGTACACGACCGGGTCAGACACACAGAGTAGTGACCCCAGAATGAACAGAACTGTTCAGGACCTGGTCAGACACATGGAGTAGTGACCCCAGAATGAACAGGACCTGGTCAGACACACAGAGTAGTGACCCCAGAATGAACAGGACTGTACACGACCGGGTCAGACTCACGTAGTAGTGACCCCAGAGTGAACAGTCTGTCACAGATGTGACACCATTTTGGAACTTCTTGCTCAGAGGATTGATGCTAATGGTAGCAACTAGTAAATTTTTAAAAACATGTATTATGAAAGTTTTGCTTGTTTTATACTGGGGCAGTCAATGATCCCGGTAGATAAAGTATCCTATGCTTGTCCCCTAAATTTGCAGAAACCTAAGATTTTCTGCTATGTTCATATACCCTTTCCTATTTTGTGATGTGATGCCGAACCAATTAACATCTCTTTAGAGACAGTTGACCTCCAGGACCCACCAGATGTCCTTGACAGGCAGAAATGCCTGGATGCTCTAGCTGCCCTGCGTCATGCTAAATGGTTCCAGGTTTGGCACTTTCCTTTTCTACTTTGCAGCCTTATGTAATATTTTAATAATCACCTTGATTTTCTTAATTGTGTTCAGTGCCTAGTCAGTGTTCATGTTCATTTTGTTTATGTCAGTCCTCGGTTACATATTTGCTTCTTTTTTTGTTTTCTTTTGGGTGGTTTGAGATATTTATAATTTAAATAGCAGAGACAAAAACAGTAGACTGTAATTTGTTGCCTGGAATATTTCACTGAATCTTATCTCATGCATCGCATGAATGAATTGTTTTAGCTGAACAGGCACAGCCCTTTGTTTCACTGTGTGTGTTACTATGGTAGTTTTAACTGACCTAGGGATTATTACCCATGCATATTGGGGTCACTTCTGTTTATATCGATGTTTGCCAGCCTAATATAATACATGAAAGACATTATCCTTTTAAATATTATGTGTTTCTGTGTTTTATTTTATTTTGTTAGTTTGCACTTAATATCATACAATGAATATAAAACTGGCAATATTTTGCAGTGCATTTTGTTTGATTGAATTCATAATAGTAAAATATTTTTTTGAATATTTACAATTACACCTAGAAAAGGTATTCATTAATACAGGCAAATTTGATGAGGGAAACCCCCAAAACATAATCATTCAAACGTTCTTGTTTCACACCAAAGCAGACATGAGTTGTTTGTCCTGGCTTTGATTACCTCTATTGTAAATCATTAACATTGTGTCATAGATGGTTGTGTTTGTCTCCTCCCCCCCCCCCCCCCCCCCCCCCCCCCCCACTTAAATATTAAATTCTATTTTTTTGTTTTTGAGAATATTCTTGTCATTTATATTGTCGGAGACATAGTATAATTTTTCAGTTATAAAATATTTAACTTTTCTAGTTTCTTTGGGTAAGGTCTGAAATTAGTTACTGACGGAATCATGTGGTCTCGTACAGCTGTCGTCTATCTGTCCCACATTGAACATGCTCTGGGAGTATACTTATAAAAGGAACCATAAGGCTGGAAAGTTTGTTGATTTTGGGAAGTGTTATACCATAGAACAATGGCCACATTCCTTATTCTTTTAGCTGCAGATATCTGTCAGTTGTCTTTGTTTTTATTTACAACTTTTGTATAATTTTAAATGGCATTTTCAACTTTAGACCATAATTTTCATTTGCCAGTCAGTGTGTAATTGTAATTAATGCTTGTTTGGTAGACAGCTTGCATTGATTCAATAGTGTTATGAACGCTGTCAGTTCAGGCAGCAATGACAAACTACTGAATGTAAAATTACCTCATACAATCACAAACAGACAAAAAAATGTAGTTAGTTAGTTCTGTAACGTCCTGTAAAGGATACGCGACTAATTTGTAAAAAAAAAAAAAAAAAAGTAGAGTGGAACTATCAACACATTCTGATGTTTAGTTAACCAGCTCGCAGCAAGCACCATCAGCTTCCATATTTTGAGTTCTGCAGGGAAAGACTAAGTGCTTGTGGGCTTGTCTTGAGTGCAGTAGCATTAATGCTTTATTAAATTCAGTTCAGTCTCTGATTTTCTTCTTTAATGTATTTCTAGACTTGTTCATATTGATTGATTTGTATGGCTGAAACTTTCTAGGGGGGGGGTTATCCAAAATTGTACCAGCCCTTCTTAGAACTCTGTTACAAGATGCTTAATAGGGTGTAATAATATTACAGTATAAATAGCTTCCTTTAGGAAGCCCGGTAATACCTGGATGAATGATTTCACATTTTAGTTGTGAATATGTGGTTTTTTTTTTTTTACAATGACTATGTAAGGTCTTCAAACGTGTTGTCTTCTTTCCTAGGCCAGAGCTAATGGGCTTCAGTCTTGTGTGATCATCATCAGAGTCTTGCGTGAGCTGTGTCAGCGGGTTCCAGCATGGGCGCCCCTCAATGAATGGGTATGTAGATTGCTTTGTGATCATAGTGGCCTTGCAAAGCATTGTAGGTATTCTTAATCTCTCCAGAGATCTTAATCATTGTTGTAGATTCCATGCCAACTGCTTCGGTCAGTAAAAATGTTCTTTATGAGCGTCAACTTCTTCTGATGATTGTTTCCAGCAAATGTTCTTTATGAGCGTCTATTTCTTCTGATGATTGTTTCCAGCAAATGTTCTTTATAAGCGTCAACTTCTTCTGATGATTGTTTCCAGCAAATGTTCTTTATGAGCGTCAACTTCTTCTGATGATTGTTTCCAGCAAATGTTCTTTATAAGCGTCTACTTCTTCTGATGATTGTTTCCAGCAAATGTTCTTTATGAGCGTCTACTTCTTCTGATGATTGTTTCCAGCAAATGTTCTTTATGAGCGTCTACTTCTTCTGATGATTGTTTCCAGCAAATGTTCTTTATGAGCGTCTACTTCTTCTGATGATTGTTTCCAGCAAATGTTCTTTATGAGCGTCTACTTCTGATGATTGTTTCCAGCAAATGTTCTTTATGAGCGTCTACTTCTTCTGATGATTGTTTCCAGCAAATGTTCTTTATGAGCGTCTACTTCTTCTGATGATTGTTTCCAGCAAATGTTCTTTATGAGCGCGTCTACTTCTTCTGATGATTGTTTCCAGCAAATGTTCTTTATGAGCGTCTACTTCTTCTGATGATTGTTTCCAGCAAATGTTCTTTATGAGCGTCTACTTCTTCTGATGATTGTTTCCAGCAAATGTTCTTTATGAGCGTCTACTTCTTCTGATGATTGTTTCCAGCAAATGTTCTTTATGAGCGTCTACTTCTTCTGATGATTGTTTCCAGCAAATGTTCTTTATGAGCGTCTACTTCTTCTGATGATTGTTTCCAGCAAATGTTCTTTATGAGCGTCTACTTCTTCTGATGATTGTTTCCAGCAAATGTTCTTTATGAGCGTCTACTTCTTCTGATGATTGTTTCCAGCAAATGTTCTTTATGAGCGTCTACTTCTTCTGATGATTGTTTCCAGCAAATGTTCTTCAGCGCTGTCGTCTTAAAATGAGACTAAAAAAAAAAAAAAAAAAAACAGCCTTCCTTATAGTCGCATTTAATATTCTGCTTTTATTTCTCTCTACCAGGCATTTATTGTTGTTGTTTCTGATATTTACTCTTTGTTGTAACTTGTTTTAGTCATTATTAATTTCATTGCTCTTTCTTTTTTTTGTATGCACTCATTCACTTCAAGCAGCATTACAAGTCTCTGTTTGATGAGAGCAATGTTTTACAAAAGACCTGCTGCATGATGATGACTCATTTGATAGCTTGATAAAGTTGAAGTGACTGGTTCATATAATTTTGTTAGTGCACAATGTTACTATAAAAGAGTTTTAAGTTAAGTTCTCCATGCTACGATAATAGATAGGGGTCTAAATTAGGAAACACACATTGTCAGAGGACGGTAACTGACTGCTCAGCATCTGAAGCTGCTGGCCTTGTGTAGAGAACCTTAGTATTTTACACTTCTTCAGCGGTGCAGTGATTTTTCTCGGTGGACCGAGGACCAAAGAATAGAAGTGGACTTGACAACCAAAACTTTCTGCCAAAGTTTGAAGCCTTTGAGTGCTAAGAAGAGGTAACAGAATTATTGCAAAAGTCATCACAACCAGGGAGAATTGTTGCAGAATCAATCATCTTGGAAAAATTGTTGCAGAATCAATAATCTTGGGAGAATTGTTGCAGAAACCAACACTATGGGAGAATTGCTGTAAAATCAGTAATTGTGTTAGAATTGTTGCAGAAACCACTTGAATGGGAGAATTGCTGCAGAAGCCATCACAGTGGGAGAATTACTGTAAAATCAATACTTGTGGGAGAATTGTTGCAGAAACCAATTGAGTGGCAGATTTGCTGCAGAAACCACCACAATGGGAGAATGTCTGGGTAGTTGTTTGAGGACAGATTTCTATAGGAAGTCAGCCACCCATCATGAAAGAGAGTGAAGATAAATCAGTTAATGCAGGGATTACAAAATACTTATAATAGTGTAGATGGCTGCAAGTTAACCTGTCTGGTGAATGTTTTCCACTCTCTTTCAGGCTATGGAACTTCTTGTGGAGAAGTGCATCAGTACTAGTGCTGCCAACATAACCTCAGGAGAGGCTCTTCGGCGTGTTTTTGAATGCATCGCCTCTGGCATCTTATTGCCAGGTATGAATTGATCTTTTTTTTAAAAATACAATTTTTACAATGTCAATAATGGATTCTCTTGGGAAGCTTAGGTTGTCTGGACCTGTTTGCGTCTGATGGAGAGAATGAAGGAACGAACGATCTTTATTTTCAGAGGGTCACAAATTGGGCACGCAGGCCCGTCTTACATTCGACCCTTCCAAACACCCATCCTTCACACAGCAATTGTATTTTATCAATACAGCATCTCAGAAACCAGCTGGTGTTCATGTGGATTATAGGGTAGTAAAAGCATTTAACATTGTCAAAATCTTCAAGTACTAGGTTCACAAAGAATTATTTATTGAAGAAAAAAAAAACTCAAGGTTTTTGGAAAGTTGAATGAGAGTCCCACCATGAAATAAATGTGCGGCTCACGCGTTTTATTTCCAGTGGGTACACTAGCCAATCTTCATTGTGCAGATGGCGCACAATGTTTTTTTTCTGGATCCAAAATTTGGACAAAGGGGAGATGAATAAGAAGAAATAACTGCTGTGTTGCCTGCACACTGCATATATAGAACTTTAAACAGTTTTGGTACCCAAGAGTTGAGTGGCAGTGGGTCTACCCCCACCCCCCTCCCCAATGAGGCCCCAGAACCCACACAAAGATAACGGGTGGTGTCAAAATCACACTTTTCGGTTCAGGCAGATTAAGCTAGGCTGACCGCATCACCATTGGTTTGGTATAGAAGTGTGCTAGCCATTGCACTGTTGTAGCTCTCAAGTATATAATATTTATAGCTGATTCTAAATAGTTGCCTGTTTAAGTCACAAATGTTCTGTTGCCAAACAAAAAGTGTATACTCACATCCCTACCTAGAATCTCTGGTTTGTACCTTGCTTGCAGGAGGGCCTGGCCTTTATGATCCTTGTGAGAAGGAACCTTATGATGCTGCAGCCACAATGACAAACCAACAGCGTGAAGATATCACCACTCTTGCTCAGGTACTGTTTCTGTTATGTCCTTATGAGTGTACTGTTAGCACAGCCATGTAACACAGCAAGTCTCAAGACATATATTCTCCTTTCATTGACATTTACTTTGACAAGCTTCACAACATATATGGTAAGCATGTATTCATTTTAAATTTTATTAACAAATAAGTTACCAATGTCAGACATGAACAGTACTTGAAAGTCACAGAATGTAAGTATACAGTATGAAAAAGAGGACAGTCAGAGGATTTTGGGAGCAGTGCATCCGCATCGCTACTAAAAACCCAAGAATTAGGAGTAAAGATTGGCACAGCCAGGTACACCAGGTGTAAGAGAAGTTAGTTAGTTAGTTGGGTTATCCTCATTGCACTCCGGACATGTCCATAGGTGCTCAGATCCTCCCCTCAGTATGAACCCCAACGTCCGATGGCTAATAGTACCAGTTCTATGTTGATTGACAAGTCTTCTGGCGTGTCTGGTGTGCGTCTCATTTTTTTCTGTGCCGATCCTAATTCCCAAGTCTGCCATTCTGGCGAGTGATGTGGATTCACTGCCACCAAAGTCCTCTATCCTTCCCATTTCTCTGAGGGCATTGATAATATCAGCATGATCCATAGGCTGACCGTCGGTAGTGATAGCGGATCCAGCCAACCTGTCAGCTCTTTCAGTGTAAGAGAAGTCTTGTCAACCAGCATAGGACTGACACAATTAACTGCAGGGTGCTGCTGTAAAAGTTCAGGGGGAAGATGAACCCAATGTGAGTGTCAGGAGTGTGGTGAAGATAACCCAGCCAACCAAGCTTATAACTAATGATGATATGCTGCTGATAAGACATGAATATATCCAATTTAAAATATGAAATGCTGAGCAGAATTGTGGGAAGAATACTGGCCAACGATTTTGTAGAATATCAGATAATAATATTGTTTGGGCATTTTCTCAGACATTCCAACCAGCCTTCAGCATTGAGTATACTGTGTTTCACTGAAAATAAGACCTAACCAATAATTATGCCCAGACCTGATTTGTTAAGATTACTTGTAATATAAGCCCTAACTCAACTATTAGCCGTAATTAAGATTGTTAGCCAGACGGACAGATTTTGTTTATCAGTTGAAACACCAGTGGACGTACTGAATTATAAAGTGATGAATCTAAAAATAAATAATATAGTTGATATTAATTCTTCAAATAAAATATGATACGTAATTATATGTTTGGGAAAACACTGTATTAGGTGGGGCTACAAGGCGAGAGGGCTGCCCAGGAAAATTGGCCGGATGAAGTAAAAGAGCTATTAAACAGATTGAATTTGTTTAATCTTGTCGCCCCAAGAAGACTTGTCACTTTGGTTCCATTTTTTTTTTTTTTTTTGGGTCAAAATCTGCTTGTGCCGCTGGGCGTCGCAGTCTATCAGATGATCGGCAACCGAGCCAGGGCGCGCTCAGTCGCTTCATATGCCGTGATGTTATGAAGTCTCAAGTTGTCCGTGACTCCTTCAATCCATCCTCTTCTTGGTCTTCCCCTGCCTCTTGTTGTTTCGATTTTCATGTTGTATGCTCTTGATGCTGGCATCTTTGGTTCCATTCTCATTAGGTGGTTCCATAAAGACCAATAATAATATGGTATTATTATGTCTGCAATGATCTGTTCTCGAAAAGCATAGTGAAATTGTTCTGGTCGTTGTGTGTGCCTGTGCAATATTTTATAGGCCAGGTTATGAATATAGTAATACAAAAACAGCATTTAGGGTGGTTTTTTTTTTAATGACTCCAATGGCTTTTTGAAAATCAAGTTGAATTAAGAGTTCCCCATAAGATTCCATCACAGCAGGAGTTTCCCAAACAGGTTGTTTTCTTTGGCCCTGGGAAATGTATTCAAATGCTTGCTTCACTCTGTTGATGTTTATTGATTACCCCTTTACATGTTGTTATATATTTCAGGACAAAGACATGTAAAAATGTAGATACAGTAGAATCTGGGTCCACAAACACATTTTATTTTGGCTAATGACAGCATCAGTTGTACTCAAGTTTCAGTGCTGTGAACGGTTTGAAAATTAAATTTCAGTGGTGTTAAGAAGCCTAGGCATATTACAGTAGAAATGAAGAGAGAAATAAAAACTAAACATGAGGTTGGTGTTCTTATTTATGATCTCACCAAGCAGTACGACATAGCTGAATCTGTGATGTGTACTACTATAAAAGAACAAGGTTGCACTAATGAAGGCTGATGAGTTTAAGGGAGGGGCTGTGTTAATAAAGCAGATTTCTCAAGTGTTAAAAAAAGTAGAGAAGTAGGGCAATTATTGTCAGCCTCCAAGCAAGTAATCAAACCACTTCCTGAGATACAAAGAAGAGAAGAAAATACAGACACAGTCACCTGACATTATTACGGAACGAGACTCTCCTTCGAAGGAGAAATCTTTCTCCTTTACCGTCTGCCTGTGCTAACCTCTACGGTCTGCCTGAGCTAGCCTCTACTGTCTGCCTGAGCTAGCCTCTACTGTCTGCCTGAGCTAGCCTCTACCGTCTGCCTGAGCTAGCCTCTACCGTCTGCCTGAGCTAGCCTCTACGTCTGCCTGAGCTAGCCTCTACGGTCTGCCTGAGCTAGCCTCTACCGTCTGCTTGAGCTAGCCTCTACTGTCTGCCTGAGCTAGCCTCTACCATCTGCCTGAGCTAGCCTCTACCATCTGCCTGTGCTAGCCTCTACCGTCTGCCTGAGCTAGCCTCTACCGTCTACCTGAGCTAGCCTCTACCATCTGAGCTAGCCTGTACCGTCTGCCTGAGCTAGCCTTTACCGTCTGAGCTAGCCTCTACTGTCTGCCTGAGCTAGCCTCTACCGTCTGCCTGAGCTAGCCTCTGTCTGCCTGAGCTAGCCTCTACCATCTGAGCTAGCCTGTACCGTCTGCCTGTGCTAGCCTTTACCGTCTGAGCTAGCCTGTACCCTCTGCCTGTGCTAGCTTTACCATCTGAGCTAGCCTCTACCGTCTGCCTGAGCTAGCCTCTACCGTCTGCCTGAGCTAGCCTGTACCGTCTGCCTGAGCTAGCCTCTACCATCTGAGCTAGCCTCTACCATCTGAGCTAGCCTCTACCCTCTGAGCTAGCCTCTCCCATCTGAGCTAGCCTCTACCATCTGAGCTAGCCTGTACCGTCTGCCTAGGCTAGCCTCTACCATCTGAGCTAGCCTCTACCGTCTGCATGAGCTAGCCTCTACCATCTGAGCTAGCCTCTACCGTCTGCATGAGCTAGCCTCTACCGTCTGCCTGAGCTAGCCTCTACCGTCTGCCTGAGCTAGCCTCTACCATCTGCCTGAGCTAGCCTCTACCATCTGCCTGAGCTAGCCTCTACCGTCTGAGCTAGCCTCTACCATCTGCCTGAGCTAGCCTCTACCATCTGAGCTAGCCTCTACCATCTAAGCTAGCCTCTACCATCTGATCTAGCCTCTACCATCTGATCTAGCCTCTACCATCTGATCTAGCCTCTACCATCTGAGCTAGCCTGTACCGTCTGCCTGAGCTAGCCTCTACCATCTGAGCTAGCCTCTACCATCTGCCTGAGCTAACCTCTACCATCTGCCTGTGCTAGCCTCTGCCGTCTCCCTGAGCTAGCCTGTACCATCTGCCTGAGCTAGCCTGTACCGTCTGCCTGAGCTAGCCTTTACCGTCTGAGCTAGCCTCTACCGTCTGAGCTAGCCTCTACTGTCTGCCTTAGCTAGCCTCTACCGTCTGAGCTAGCCTCTACTGTCTGCCTGAGCTAGCCTCTATCGTCTGCCTGTGCTAGCCTCTACCGTCTGCCTGTGCTAACCTCTACCGTCTGCCTGAGCTAGCCTCTACCGTCTGCCTGAGCTAGCCTCTACCATCTGCCTGTGCTAGCCTTTACCGTCTGAGCTAGCCTGTACCCTCTGCCTGTGCTAGCTTTACCATCTGAGCTAGCCTCTATCGTCTGCCTGAGCTAGCCTCTACCGTCTGCCTGAGCTAGCCTCTACCATCTGAGCTAGCCTCTACCATCTGATCTAGCCTCTACCATCTGAGCTAGCCTCTACCATCTGAGCTAGCTTCTACCATCTGAGCTAGCCTGTACCGTCTGCCTGAGCTAGCCTCTACCATCTGAGCTAGCCTCTACCGTCTGCCTGAGCTAGCCTCTACCGTCTGCCTGAGCTAGCCTCTACCGTCTGAGCTAGCCTCTACCATCTGAGCTAGCCTCTACTGTCTGCCTTAGCTAGCCTCTACCGTCTGAGCTAGCCTCTACTGTCTGCCTGAGTTAGCCTCTACCGTCTGAGCTAGCCTCCACTGTCTGCCTGAGATAGCCTCTACCATCTGAGCTAGCCTGTACTGTCTGAGCTAGCCTGTACTGTCTGAGCTAGCCTGTACCGTCTGTCTGAGCTAGCCTGTACCGTCTGTCTGTGCTAGCTTCACCATCTGAGCTAGCCTCTACCGTCTGTCTGAGCTAGCCTCTACCGTCTGCCTGAGCTAGCCTCTACCATCTGTGCTAGCCTTTACCATCTGAGCTAGCCTGTACCGTCTGCCTGTGCTAGCTTTACCATCTGAGCTAGCCTCTACCGTCTGCTTGAGCTAGCCTCTACCGTCTGTCTGAGCTAGCCTCTACCGTTTGCCTGTGCTAGCCTCTGCTGTCTACCTGTGCTAGCAACTTTAAACCACAAAGATAAAGCTATACTGTATATTTTATAAATTTTGTCACATAAATACATTTAAAAAGTAAAAAAAAAAATGTGTTTCTGGGACAGGCGAACAGATTAAGTGTGCATTGATTTCAATGGGAAAAATGTTTCTGATCCTAGACATTTGTTTTGTGAACGGAGTTAAAGAACAAATTAAGTTTGTGACCTGAGCTACAACTGTACATTAAACCCCCCTCCAAAATTATTATAACTTTTATATAATTTTTTTTGGGAAGATTTCCTCCCAAAATTTCCACAGGTTTGTGACTGATATATATTTAGCATTCACTGTGCGAAAGGGTTAAAGCTATGCATCTTGCAATCTCCAGAAAGCTACACCCGCCTTTTATCTACAGTACCTGTCTGGATAGGCCAAATAAGACAGATTAACAAATGACATGTCATTTTTAACATTTATGATTTTTTTTGCCTATCATCATGCCCTGAGACAAGTAGCTTTCCGTCATTTTTAACATTTATGATTTGTTTGGCCTATCAGCATGCCCTGAGACAAGTAGCTTTCTGTCATTTTTAACATTTATGATTGTGTGTGCCTATCAGCATGCCCTGAGACAAGTAGCTTTCCGCCACATTCACAAAGTGTTGGGCATAGATCTCCTGCCAGACACCAAGTTTCCAGCAAAACTATTTTTCAACCGCAAGAGAAGACAGAGCAACAGCACAGGGGATGAAGGTCAGTCCTATTCTCAAGCTCAGCCACCATGTTTAGATTAGCAATTGCCTCCACTAAGCAAGAGACAACTGCTGAGTGAAGGTGTGTCATGTATTTAAACTGTGTGTTCCCCTGTGGGTTTCGGGGTCACATTTGGGGGGATGAAGAATAGACCCACTGCCTCCCTAACAAGCATGTCTTAAGAATAAGGTGAAATTAGAGGGTTTCCTTCAAAGTTGGAGTGCATTCCCCTGACAGTCGAGGAACCAACGGTCTACATACAGATAAGCCAGCTCTATTAAACGCAAGTACACGCAAGACCCGGGTTCTGGAATGGGAGTGAAGTCCACAAGTGGATGAACAGCCAGAACTTTATGCCGGATTTAGAGCCGAGGAACACTGAGAAAAAGAAGAAGTAGACTGTTGATTCAATTCATTTAGTCCAAAACAACACGTGATAAGTGATTAGTTCTTTCCCCTTGATCCCCAGCATAATGTTAAAGGCCTAATACTTTGCAGGTTATTGTTCTTTGCTTCTCCAAATGGTCCTAGTTATACCATTGAAATTACACAACAGCAATAAAGGAATACATAAAGAAAAACAAAAAAGAAATGAAAATTGTCTGGCTCAGAAGATACTGAGTTTGAAGTGTGAAAAAATAGTGAAAATGATTTCAGGAAAGATTTACATTTCTTATACCAGCAGATAAATAACATGTAGGAAAACACCTAATACCACTAGATGTTTAAAATCAAAGGATGGCATAACATTAATATAACAGGTAATGTAATTATAGACAAACAAAACTGATAGAAGAACTATGAAGTGAAGAACTGGTGAGTTTTTAGTTTATGCATATACTCGTTCAGACCATTATTTGCTTTAAAAAAAAGCTTTTATCTCGAGCTGTAAAAGATGCCTCCCCTTTTTTTTGTGCAGTCTCATACTAACTCCTGTCATGCATGTTTTATTTAATTCATACATCTTTTAATAGGTAATAATGAACACCTTCAACCACAAATAAATATTAATTACAAGTGTTCTTGATTTATACCTACATTTCTAAACAACAATAACTTGCATTTTTTGGGAAAATAATATAGTGGAAATATACAATATGTTTGTAGAGACATAAAAGTTAAATAGCTTCTGATTGTGGGTATAAAGGTTATAGATATTTTTAACTCGCTGTAGAAGAGGATGGCTAGGAAAGTAACTGTATGAAAACATTAATAGATAAATGTTTTGTTGTGAACATCTTTGCCCAGTTAATACTTTTAATTTTGTGACATTTGTAGTGACGTTGTCCTAGACAAGGTAGACATGTTGTACATGCTGTCAGTGACACTGTTGAATGTCAGCAATTTACAATTTTGTGTGGAAGTTTTCATATTTCCATAGTAAAATGTTAATTTGCAACATTACTAACAAGGAGAAAACGAAGGTGGGGGTTTCACAGTAACCTTTGACCTAAAGTACCTTGCAACATTTTGTGTGGTTTCACAGATGGTATTTACAGGCAGGGGGAAACCTTAGACTAGATTTGTTTGGCTCACCGACTCCTTTAATAAATTAGTTTTCTTCTGTTTTTTTTATAAATAATAAAGAAAATTGTTGCAAATAAGACATGCTCGAAATTGCAGATTTAAAAAAGATCTATGAAAATGATAACTCCTTAAAAAAATGTTATGTTTTGGATTTTGTCAATAAGTTAGTGCCTTCAACTCTTTTAAGCAACACAATGTATAAGTGACACCATCCCTTGATTTCTTACCATAGCATAATGAGATCTCTTGCATTTAACATTTAGTCTGAACATTCTAAAGAAATCTGGCTTCGCCAATGTAATTACCACAGTGCGTATTACCACATGAAAAGTAATGCATTAATCTATTTTTTCCATCATGATTATTTATTCGCTTAAACATGTCCTTTGAAAGTTTTTGGTACTGAGAGTTCATATTGTACCCTTTATAGTTATTTTGTCATAGACAGAACACACGCAGTTGCCTGTAATCACAGACTAGAACTTTCAGGTTAGCATGCACAAACTATGACACTGTTGACTGTCAGCAATTTACAGTTTTATGTGGAAGTTTTCAAATTTCCATATTAAAGTGTAAATTGCAACATTATTAACAAGGAGGAAACGAAGGCAAGGGTTTCACAGTAACCTTTGACCTAAAGTACCTTGTAACATATCGTCTTCATGTGTCTTGCTAGATGATATCACAGGCAGTAGGAGGCATGCAGACTAGAGGTTCCCAAACTCGATTGGCAAACATACTTTTTTTAAGTTAAAAATATATATATTTTTTGGTGAAACCAAACAACAATTACACACTTCTCTCATTATAGAACAGGCATTGATCATATGCAAATAGTAGCTAATTGTGTGTGGATATTTCTATCTGTATATATTAAATAAGAGAGAAGATAGCACACATCCCTGCCTCATCCCTGTATGTGATTGTAAACATATCAGACATGCCTTCTTGTGTTCTCACTGCGCTTTGGGAAGTGTGTTACAAGGCCATGATGTTAGCTAGCAGCTGTCCTTGTATCCCAGAATCCTCAAGAATAGTCCACAGTTTGTGTCTGTCTTACTCTAACGTTTTTTCTTGATCAACAAACACAATATTCAGTTCATCGTTATATTCAGTGGTTTTCTCCCACACTTGTCTTAGTGTTATTAATGCATCTGTGCAACCTTTTCCTTCCTGAAACCAAATTATGATGTACTTGGGTATTGTTCCGCTATAGGTTTAACTCTTTGTTCTAATAACTTTGCATACATGTTTCCTGTGTGGCTCAAGAGTGATATACCTCTGTTCGATGCACAGTCTACCAAAATGGTGGAGTAAACATGAATATGATCATTCATTAAACCCCCCAAAAATATGCTGTTTTGGATTTCCTCACTCAGTTAGTACCTTAACTCTTTTAGTCCTAAACAGCTCTGTGTGTAAGGGACACCATCCCTTGATTTCTGTCTATAGCATAAGGTCTCTTGCATTTTACATTTAGTCTCAACATTCTAAAAAATCTGGCTTCTCCATGTAATTACCACAGTGCATATTGCCACATGAAAAGTAATAATTCATCCTTTTTTCCGTCCTGATTATTTAATCGCTTAATCATATCCTGTAAAAGTTTCTGGTACTGGGAGTTCATATTGTACCCTTTATAGTTATTTTGTCATAGACAGAACACATGCAGTTGCCTGTAATCACAGACTAGAACTTTCAGGTTAGAATGCACAAACTGTGACACTGTTGATTGTCAGCAATTTACAGTTATGGGTGGAAGTTTTCTGATTCCCATTGTAAAGTGTAAATTGCAACATTATTAACAAGGAGGAAACGAAGGCAGGGGTTTCACAGTAACCTTTGACCTAAAGTACCTTGTAACATTTCATCTTCATGTGTCTTGCTAGATGATATCACAGGCAGTAGGAGGCATGCAGACCAGAGGTTCCAAAACTCGATTGGCAAACATACTTTTTTTAAGTTAAAAATATATATATTTTTTGGTGAAACCAAACAACAATTACACACTTCTCTTATTATAGAACAGGCATTGATCATATGCAAAAAGTAGCTAATTGTGTGTGGATCTAATTATTTCTCTGGAAAGTTCCTCATTTTCTGGATTTTCTGCTTTAAATCTGGCCTTTTTTTATTTCTATCTGTATATATTAAATAAGAGAGAAGATAGCACACATCCCTGCCTCATCCCTGTATGTGATTGTAAACATATCAGACATGCCTTCTTGTGTTCTCACTGCGCTTTGGGAAGTGTGGTACAAGGCCATGATGTTAGCTAGCAGCTGTCCTTGTATCCCAGAATCCTCAAGAATAGTCCACAGTTTGTGTCTGTCTTACTCTAACGTTTTTTCTTGATCAACAAACACAATATTCAGTTCATCGTTATATTCAGTGGTTTTCTCCCACACTTGTCTTAGTGTTAATAATGCATCTGTGCAACCTTTTCCTTCCTGAAACCAAATTATGATGTACTTGGGTATTGTTCCGCTATAGGTCTAACTCTTTGTTCTAATAACTTTGCATACATGTTTCCTATGTGGCTCAAGATTGATATACCTCTGTATGATGCACAGTCTACCCTCATGGCAGAGTAAACATGAAAATGATAATTCATTAAACCAAAAAAATGTGCTGTTTTGAATTTCCTCACTCAGTTAGTACCTTAACTCTTTTAGTCCCAAGCAGCTCTGTGTGTGACACCATCCCTTGATTTCTGTCTATAGCACAATAAAGTCTCTTGCGATTTACTTTTAGTCTCAACATTCTGAAGTAATCTGGCTTCTCCAGTGTAATTACCACAGTGTGTGTAGCCACACGAAAAGTAATGCATTCAGGCTTTTTTTTGGGGTCATGATTATTTCTTCGCTTAGGCATATCCTGTAAAAGTTTCTGGTACTGAAAGTTCATATTGTAATCTTTATAGTTATTTTGTCATAGACAGAACACTCACTAGCCTGAAATCACAGACAGAACTGTCAGGTTATAATGCACAAACTGTCACACTGTTGACTGTCAGCAATTCACAGTTTTGGGTGGAAGTTTTCATATTTCCATATTAAAGTGTAAATTGCAACATTACTAACAAGGAGGAAACGAAGGCAGGGGTTTCACAGTAACCTTTGACCTAAAGTACCTTGTAACATATCGACTTTATGTGTCTTGCTAGATGATATCACAGGCAGTAGGAGGCATGCAGACCAGAGGTTCCCAAACTCAATTGGCCAATATACTTTTTTTTAAACAAAAAAAGTAAATATTTTTTTTAAACCACACAATTACGCAGACCCCTTCTAGAAATCTATATTCTTTAAGCGTGCGAACAGAAAGATGCAGTGGTAAATTTGTGTTCCTAAATGTGTGTGTGTGTGTGTGTGTTTTCTTACGTGTTACACAATAAAGAAATTTGGCCTACAAAGGACAATTTGTTGCTTGAAATTGCAATTGTTTTTTAATCCACCATCAATTTTTAAGGACATCAGAATCTTAAGGTAAAAGAAGGATGCTTTAAAACCAGTCTGTATCAAAAGATGTAATATTTTAAACATTCTAGCTAGCCAATCCTTTTCATCTTGTAGCATTTGTAGTGGGTTTTTCCTCGGCAAGATAGGAACTTTAGTGTGTAGCCAAAGACAAGACAAGAACTTTAGTGTGTAGTCAAAGACAAGACAAGAAATTTAGTGTGTAGTCAAAGACAAGACAAGAAATTTAGTGTGTAGTCAAAGACAAGACAAGAAATTTAGTGTGTAGTCAAAGACAAGATAACACCTTTAATGTGTAGTCAAAAACAAGATAACTTTAATGTGTAGTAAAGACAAGATAAGAACTTAAGTGCATAGTCATATACAAGATAGGAACTTTATATGTGTAGTCAAAGACAAGACGAGAACTTTAGTGCTTAGTCATATACAAGATAAGAACTTTAATGTGTAGTCAAAGTCAAGACAAAAACTTTAGTGCGTAGTCATATACAAGATAAGAACTTTAATGTGTAGTCAAAGACTAGAAATTTCAGGTTATGATGTTGTACAAACTGGCATTTTTTAATGTCAGCAAATTACAGTTTTATATGGGACATTTTATATTTCTATAGTAGAATATAAATTGCAGTCACTTACAAGGAGGAAATGAAGGCAGGGGTAGCACAGTAACCTTTGACCTAAAGAACCTTGTAACATATCATCATCATGATTAATTCCATAGGGTCTTCTTCTGCAGTCACTTAACTGTAAACCACTACACAACTTGCTACTTTTAAGAGTGAACACAAGAAGAAGTCCGGTAGAAGATCCTGGTGATCTTCCATGTCCATTTCTAGCAGATCCTTAGTTCGTAATCTTTTACGACATACTCAAACCTTTTTTAAACCCCCACCCCAGGAAGCTCTGGAACTCACATGGGAATTTCAGTGTCTGAAACATGTTTATATTTTAATTTAATGAGCAGTTTGCAAGAACTTACATTGCTGTATACTGTTTGTTCCCCAGGTGCTAAAAAGAAGTACCGTAAGGAGAAAGCTGCAGAGTTGCCAGTGAAAGCATCATAGATTTAATTACTAATATCAATCGCAGGAGTTTTTTGTTGTTGTTATGTGGTCAGAGTGACTCGTTTCAAACTTTGGTCAATTTTATAATACTGAAAATATGTTCAGTCAGCTGCTCAAAAAAGTCTTTAGCAGAAACATTTTTTAAATTGTTTTTTTTTTCATCTTTGCAACATCCACATATGTTTCCTGTTTACTGTGCATACATGGTATGGGTTATGTTGACTGCATGGGTGACTTTTTGTTCCTGGGAGAAATTCGTTGACATCTGTGAGCATGGGAGCTTGTTTCATGAATGTCCGAGTACGAATGTTTTTGTTTTTGTTTAACTTGCGTATCCTTCACAGGACGCTGAAGAACCAACCCCAGCAGCCCCTGGCTGTTGTGGTTTTTCTAGGCAAATTTACGTGCAGTAGTTTGCCATTGCTTACTGGATGGTCGGCTCTCGGTACCACGGTTCAAACCATCCTCAAGACAAACCTTCCGCAGCAGGGATCGAACCCGGCACCCCTGCATTATGAAGCGCGTTCGCAACGCCTAAGCCACAGGGGCTGACAAATGTTTTAGGGATATTATAAATTATTTTGTCATCATTTGTCTGAGATGAGCATGATAACCTGTGGCTTCATGAGGTAATTGTCATATATATTAGTTGGATGTATCGTGAACATTTTAAAGTGAATTACATTGCCCTGTTTTGTCTAGCATGTGATCAGTGCTTCTGTTTTTGACTGACATTTTTGGTAGGGTCAGCTTTACCTGGTCTTTGACTGTCGACGATCTAGCTGCAAGACAGCAGGGTTGTATCTCTCTTTGTCTGAGTCTTCTTCCTTGACCTGCCCGACCTGGAAAACTACCAGTAGAGAAGCTACCATCACTGGAACTTTTAAACCCTTCTACCGTACCGCCAAGATGAAGTCACCTCACACAGAGAGTGTAATGAGTACTTGTTAACACATACTCACTTACAGAAGACATGGAAATCCACTGCAGTTGAAGTCTAACATGCATAAGAAGTACTCATTTTGTATTGGTAGTCAGAAGTCCCAGGTCTGCCTGCTGTCTACTGCTGGCTTATAAAGACACAGTCTGTGATGATTGAGAGGCCCAATATATGGAAGTGAGGTTAAATAGTCATCAGCAGGAGGTGACGATTCCTTGGGCGAACCCAGTACTAGAGCACCATGTATTGGTTCTGCATTTATAGAAACCTCTTCGGATGGTGGGGAATGCTCATAATCTGCCCCTGCCTTCTCTTGAGGCTGATCAGCATTGCCTGGCTGCTCTGGACAGGACTGGGGGAAGGGGGTGACACCACCTGTCAACTAGGAAACAAAGATGACCTCACATCATTGAGACTGCAGTGTTCCACAAAACTAACCGGGAAGACTAACCCGGGCAACAAATGCCTGTGGAAGTTGGATGTGTCTGCAAACAGGCACAACACATTCACTTCTTCAGATGAGTGCAGAAGAAAATACTAAAGACGAGAACTCAGTTAACATAAACAAAATTATCTGTTATTCTTAGTCTCCAGTTAGCAGTGTAAAACACACACTTGAATTTTCATTGGAATTCATATTAATGAGATTTTACTGTATTTGATTTGGAGATTTTAAGGAAGAATTTGTTGTTTATATTATTTAGCTACATGTATATCATAATTTGTCACTCCTTGAGGAAATTATAATGTTATTTCAAGAAAAATTCTCATCCAAATTATTTGCTTCGATGAGCTGTTAGTCATTATTATTATTTTATTTTTGTTTTTATCATCATCATCGTATTGTAGTAGTTCATTTGCAGAATGTCACTGCCATCATGGTCTGTAGAAACACTCTTGTTCACCTAAAGTCAGAAGTTAAAGTTGAGAGGTTCGATTAATTGCACCGGGTTTTATCCCTTATGGCACAGTCTCTCCCTGCAGAACGGCTATTGCCTGCCAAGAACCTCACACAAAGCACGAGTACCATAGTTCCAGTGAGGAACCCTAGCGGTCTCCATAAAAATCGTGAACTGAGCGACTCAGGTGTTGAATGAACCCTCAACCTTCATAGTGCAAGGCAAATGGCTTGATCATATCACCATGGAGACCCTCACAGCTCTTGGCCCCTTTTATGCATCATACCCAAAGGTGTCCTGTATCCACTGTCATCCTGGTCAGATCTTTCCTTGTTTTCCAGGAATTTTGCCCTTAATGACTATTCTTTCTAATCACAGTGACATTCAGTAGGGCTAAGAGTTTCAGTTAACAGGCAACATCACAGAATTTTCGGCATTGCCAAAATAATGTCTTCCCCCATCTTCAGCAGCCAGTACCTAACATCACAGCACCTGGGGATATTCCCAAAAGCACGTCTTTCCTCATCTTCAGCTGCCATTATCCCACATCACAGCATCTGGGGACATTCCCAAAAGCACTTCTTCCCTAATCTTCAGCTGCCATTATCCCACCTTACAGCATCTGGGGACATTCCCAAAAGCACTTCTTCCCCCATCTTCAGCTGCCATTATCCCACCTCACAGCATCTGGGGACATTCCCAAAAGCACTTCTTCCCCCATCTTCAGCTGCCATTATCCCACCTCACAGCATCTGGGGACATTCCCAAAAGCACTTCTTCCCCCATCTTCAGCTGCCATTATCCCATCTCACACATCTGGGGACATTCCCAAAAGCATTCTTCTGAGGCCATTATCCCCAAAAAACAGCATTCTTCCCAAAAACACTCTTCCCTCATCTTCAGATGCCATTATCCCACCTTACAGCATCTGGGGACATTCCCAAAAGCACTTCTTCCCCCATCTTCAGCTGCCATTATCCCACATCACAGCATCTGGGGACATTCCCAAAAACACTTCTTCCCTCATCTTCAGATGCCATTATCCCACCTCACAGCATCTGGGGACATTCCCAAAAACACTTCTTCCCCCATCTTCAGCTGCCATTATCCCACCTCACAGCCCTCCTAGACATTCCTAAAACCACTTCTTTCCCCTTCTTCAGCAATCAGATTTTCTCTGTTAAAAAAAAAAAAACCCACAGTAGTTTAAAGAAAAAATGTTGCTGAAGTTAATGAGAATGATAAATTGTTGTTTCACAATGTAGTTACATCATTTGTTGGTTGTTTCCTATTTCAGAAACTGTTGACTTTTTGGCAGTTAAAAGAAAGAAAGAATGGGCTTTTGAGTTGAAATGCTATAGAAAGACTATCAGAATATGATGAACAGAGAAGAAAATAAGTATTAACATTCTAACAGATCTCAACATTAAGAAAGATTGGCTAGTAAATAGCGTCATATCTCAAAAGCTGAAATATTTTGACAATGTCAAGCGCCTCGGCAGATTGAAGAAAATAGTAGCAGAAGACTTGGTAATAGGAAGGCAAGGCAGGGGCCGACCAGCACGATGATGGGCACAGGATATGAGTGACTCCTTGGGTATAAAGGTGCATGAGGTGGGAGAGCTATTAAGAGACCGTGTTTCTTTCAGGCAGACCTCGTTGAAAGCAACGTTCTGCAAAAGACCTGCTACATGATGAAAGGTTTATACCTTAGAAGTTTGAGATGAGGCCAGGAAGTTTGATTTCGTCTAGAGAATAACATGATCAGTTTTGGTCTCTTTAATCACCTTTGTGTTTGTGATTCCATGTGTGGGTTCCGGGGCTCCATTGCGGGGAAATTAAGAATAGACCCACTGCCTATCCAAAAGCATGTCATGAGAGCAACTAATTGGGGCGTCTTTTTAAGTTGAAATGCATCTGCTTGACAGGCAAGAAACCAACAATTTGCATGCAGGTAAGACAGATCTGTAAAACAAATGTGCATGTAACCCTCAGGTTTGGAACAAGGCCAAAGTCCAAAGATGGATAAACAACCGGAACTTTCCGCCAGAGTTTACAGCCAGTGAATGTGAAGAAGAAAAATACTCTTCTTATTTTCTCTACTCCTGGAATTCCTTGTGGTGTCAGGGCAAAAAGAGATCTCTAGAACAGGCTCTACTGTTTGCTTCATATAAAGTACTTTTGAGTGTCTCTGATATTTCTGTTGTCCATATTCTATGTGGTTGACCTCTGGCTCAGTTACCATTGTATCTGTATAACATTGCTCTCTGTGGTGCCCTGTCTAATGCTAATCTTGTTACATGGCCAAACCATTTGATTTGTTGTCTACCTATAAAGTTCAGTATTGGTTTTGTGCCGACACCCTCCACATATTGTTTCCTCATTACACCTAGCATAGTACCTAAACATTTCATTTCTGACGTGACTATTTTCCTTCTGTTTTCTGAAGCCAGTGTCCATGTTTGACTTTGATAGAATAGTGATCGTGAGAATATTGTATTGAACAGTGTTCTTTTTGGTTTTCATGTTCCCATGCATTTCAAAATTGGGTGCTGTTTGGCCTAAAACTTGATTGGCTATATTGCATCTTTGTTGGATTTCTTTATTAATTCTGCCGTCTTCTGAAAAAATGCTCCCCAAGTATGTAAAATCTTTCGCCTGCTCTAACTGGTGTTCAGTTGATACTGGTGGGTCTTCCTTTTCTGGAGAATATCATCACTTCTGTTTTATCTACGTTCACCTGCATACCGTAGTTGTGACATTCTGAGTGGAGTCTATTAATATGTTCTTACAACTGTACTGCTGTTGGTGCTATGATTGCCTGGTCATCGGTGAAAACCAGTCCATTGAGTAATTCTCCGATGTTGTCCCCTTCACTAATGTTAGCTGATTTGCAAATTTGGTCCACATATGTGATGAACAGTAGTAGTGCTAGAACACACCCCTGTCTCACTCCAGATCTAATGTAGAACTGTTCTGACATTCTTGTATTTGTTCTAACTAGAAGTATACTTGTGATAATAATATTTTGTCCAGTATCCTAGTAGTCTGATATATTATTACTAGTAGTGTAGGTCTCCCTGGCGAAGTGGTCAAGCCGTTGTGGGTTCGTTTCATGGTTGCATCATTAAGTTCACGAGTGCAATTTTTGCAGAGATCCCCAGGGATCGTCACCAGAGCTATGAAGTTTGTGCTATGGGCAGCTGACTGGCTGTTCTGCGGACATAGACCGAGCCATATAGGATAAAACTGTGCAACGAAGTCCATCCTCCTGACTTTAACCTTTCATTATTGCTAGTTCTATAGCATCCACTTATTGATATAGTTTGATGTAGCATTGTCTTTGCACTTATACTGCTTTATTACAGTGTTTGTTTTATATATTTTTAAAAATATGTGTCGTTTATATTTATGGAATGTTTTTAACACATTTTTTCATATTAGCAGTAGAATCTAGGTAGTTATGAGAATCTGTTAGCATTGGCAGTTTGTAGTGTAAAGGGATTTTGTTTGGGTAGGTTAAAAACAAAGAACAGCTGTCTGGCATTGGTAATCAATGTCGACAGCTGTTTCTGTCATGTACTGTCTGTAATTTTTGTCATGAACAAACTGTTCAATATCTTTTCTATTGATCTCTCTCTGCCTCATTGGGTTCTCCTCTTTGTGTGAACATAACGCTGTTATATTATTGAGGGTTTCTTTTCATGAACTTGTCACAGTATCAAACTCAGACCTTTGGACTGCCTTAGTTAGTTTTGCGTACCTGTTAGCTGACCACAGCTTCACTAGAGAGAAATTTACAGGAGGGTAAAATGAGGAAGTACTGAGTGTTAGGTTAGAGCAGTACCGAGATTGAGAAAGTGGATGAGAGTTAATTAAGTGAATGAGACATTGAGAAGGTTTAGTATTAATTAGAATGAGCCCAGTTGTTTTGTGTGCCTGGTAGGTCATCGGTGAAAAGATACAGTTGGCACCAGTGATGAAGCAAATGTGTCTGTTCTTCTTCTGCCATGTCTTTCAGTGAAGCCTAAGCCCTCAACCAGCTCCAGCCAAGCCATCCTATCATTCAACATCACCTGCAACTCACCCTGTGTTCTCCCTATCTTTTTTAACTCACTTTCTTGTTCCCTTCTCCTAGTGTGTGTGTTTTTCCCACTTGGAAGGGGGAGGGGGTTCTGCCTTTATTCCTTTGATTGTATGGGTTCCAGTGCAGAGATATTCTGCTTGTGGGTTCCAGTGCAGAGATATTCTACCTGTGGGTTCTAGTGCAGAGATATTCTACCTGTGGGTTCTAGTGCAGAGATATTCTACCTGTGGGTTTCAGTGCAGAGATATTCTACCTGTGGGTTTCAGTGCAGAGATATTCTACCTGTGGGTTCCAGTACAGAGATATTCTACCTGTGGGTTCCAGTGCAGAGATATTCTACCTGTGGGTTCCAGTGCAGAGATATTCTACTTGTGGGTTTCAGTGCAGAGATATTCTACTTGTGGGTTCCAGTGCAGAGATATTCTACTTGTGGGTTCCAGTGCAGAGATATTCTACCTGTGGGTCCAGTGCAGAGATATTCTACCTGTGGGTTCCAGTGCAGAGATATTCTACTTGTGGGTTCCAGTGCAGAGATATTCTACCTGTGGGTTTCAGTGCAGAGATATTCTACTTGTGGGTTCCAGTGCAGAGATATTCTACCTGTGGGTTTCAGTGCAGAGATTTCTACCTGTGGGTTTCAGTGCAGAGATATTCTACTTGTGGGTTTTAGTGCAGAGATATTCTACTTGTGGGTTCCAGTGCAGAGATATTCTACCTGTGGGTTCTAGTGCAGAGATATTCTACCTGTGGGTTTCAGTGCAGAGATATTCTACTTGTGGGTTCCAGTGCAAAGATATTCTACCTGTGGGTTCCAGTGCAGAGATATTCTACCTGTGGGTTTCAGTGCAGAGATATTCTGCTTGTGGGTTCCAGTGCAGAGATATTCTACCTGTGGGTTCCAGTGCAGGGATATTCTACTTGTGGGTTCCAGTACAGAGATATTCTACCTGTGGGTTTCAGTGCAGGGATATTCTACTTGTGGGTTCCAGTACAGAGATATTCTACCTGTGGGTTCCAGTGCAGAGATATTCTACTTGTGGGTTCCAGTGCAGAGATATTCTACTTGTGGGTTTCAGTGCAGAGATATTCTACTTGTGGGTTCCAGTGCAGAGATATTCTACTTGTGGGTTTCAGTGCAGAGATATTCTACCTGTGGGTTCCAGTGCAGAGATATTCTACCTGTGGGTTTCAGTGCAGAGATATTCTACTTGTGGGTTCCAGTGCAGAGATATTCTACTTGTGGGTTCCAGTGCAAAAATATTCTAGTTATCCAGAAGAATCTTAGCACAGTGCCTAGACTTGGTGATATCAAGGATCCAAAAGTGTGTGTGTGCCAGAATCACAGGCTATAAATTATTTGTTTATTACACACACACAAAACCCCCCCCCCCCCCCCCCCCTCCCCCTATCCCCCTTCTAGCAACCTGTTTGGCCTGCTCTAAGGAATTGTTAACTGCTGAAGGATATTTAAATTGTCCAAAACCTGTTGTTGTGTGTGAGAGCACGTGTGGGCACCTTTGAGAAGGTTAGATGCTGGATCCAGTAACTCAGGATCAAGGATCTCTGTGTGTTCAAAACTGAGACTGATTCAGATTATGAGGTTTTAATTTATTTGACATTTGATGTTGAAAGATTGTTGCATTTATTATTTTGACATTTTCTGATGTTGTACATAGTTTTAATTTTGTACTGCTTTGAGTTTGATTAGTTTGAAATAAACTGTTTGATTGTGACATGCAAAAAAACTGATTATCAGTAATTATATCTTTATAAGTGAGTATGTGTACGTTTGCAACTAGAAAATGTTATGGGTAGTACAGGTGGCTGGAGTGATATTGAAAAAACAAAAACAGAAAGAAAAAAACCTGAGTTCCTATTATTTCATTTGTCTATGAAACAAAATTGGAGTAGAAATATATAACTGTACTTAATATGCCTCGGAAAACATTACTTTTTAAAAAGACCATGAACAAATATTAGACCAAATGAAAAGTAGAACGAGTCAACTTGACAATATCACAAACAAAAAAGTGAACACAGACACAAAGTCTTCATCAAGATATTACATTAACACATACCACAAGTACAAAAAAACAAACAACAACAACACATAAGATCAATTTACTGACCAACCTTCATAGAAATCACATTTCTGTCTGGCCAGGGAAATATCTGACAGGCATTTGGCCACAGAAAATAAATACTGGCAAGAAAAGCCATGAGCAACAAGGGTCGTAACTCAAAAGATATATAAAACTGTTGGATGTTAAATACCTTAGGTGAACTGGCACCCATTTTTGATAGGGCAGTTCTTGAGAGACTTAGAGACTCTGTCACTGGCATAGCTAGATTTGGTGGTCTTAACCACCATTTCAAGGACACCTTGGTTATCCATCACTTAAAAACAAATTCTTGCCTCAGTGGAGATTCCAGGAAAGTGTGCTTGCTAGCCACCCTGCTACTGCACCTCCCTTACAATCACAGTAAGAGTATTTACAGTAACTTCATTTCCCAGTTGTAAAACTGGATCAGGTTGAGGAGACCCTCTCAGAAAACCTGAGTGGAAGCCCATCTTTTGGATGTGGCACTGGGAAGTAGGACATCTTGACAGAACCTTCGACAAGTTCCCAGCTACATGAGCGAACAATCTCAACCACAAATACTCGCAGGAACATCATCGCAAACTCCTTCCCCAAACATAATCGTGGGCCACCTCCAAAGGGAAGAAAATGAAACTTCTCGTCTGGGTACTTATGATCAATCCAGCGATCTGGGTTGAACTTGTTTGTGTCTTCAAAGATATTTGAGGTTTGCTGGGTTTCTCGGATGCTGTAAGCAATAGTCCAGCCTGCAGGAATGTGGTAGTTCTGTTCAAAATGAAGAAAAATTGTTTGATTGAGAAATGGAATTGCAGGAGTACAACTGTTGACAGTACAAATATCTACAATTACTACTAAATATAGAAGTACGTGGGCTTTAACTGTTGATAGTACAGGTATCTACAATTACTATTAAATATGGAACTGCGTGAGTTTAACTGCTGATAGTACACAAATTCTACAGTTACTACTAAATAAGGAACTACATGAGTTTACTTGATGACAGTAAAAATAGCTACATTACTGCCAAATAAAGAACAGCAGCAGCAACTTCAAAAAAAAAAAAAACAGTAGTAGCAGCAACAGTGCCAACCACAAACCCAACAACAACCGAAATAATGCCAACAACAACTCCAACAATACCAGCAACCTAAAAAAGGCTAACAACAACCAAGACAATACCAACATTAGCACAAACAATTGCAACAGCAGCAACAATGTCAACATTTTTTTAAAGCAACAACAGTAAAAACAAATTTACAGTAATACAGGAGCAATATTAAAAACATCAACAAAAACTAGTAGCAGGAGCAACATAAATAATGGTAACAGCAACAAAAATAATTATAGCAGCAACATAAATAATGGCAGCAGCAGCAACATAAATAATGGAAGCAGCAGCAACATAAAAAATGGTAGTAGCAACAACATCAACAACACAGACAACAGTGGTAGCAACAACACAAACAACAGTAGTAGAAAAAACAACAGCAATATCACAACAGTAGCAAAATAAACAACAGTAGCAGCAACATAACAGGAGCAGCAGCAACAACAGTGACAACAACAGCAATGCCAGTACCCCTTCCCCATCCCCCAAAAAAAAACATCAGTAACAACAGTTACACCATTGCCAACAAAAACAACAATCAGTTAAACAATCCTTTCTGTAAGATCACTTTTTATGACTAAAAAAAAAACAAAAACAAGGTATAACAAATACAATGTGCTTACATTCAGTGTGAATGACTTCAGTACAGTCCTATATCCCGCGCCAACAGGTGGAGACAGGCGAAGAACTTCCTTGACAACGCCATTCACATATCGCAGGTGTCCTAAGTTTGCTAGTGTCAGATCTAACTCTTGGCTTTGAGCCAGCCCGTGCTCTTCCAGTTCAGCTTGAACTTTTGTGACAACTTCACTTTTGAAAGATATGAAAACAGATGGATATATAAACAAAGCTTTTGTTAATAGGTATGAGATGGTTGCAGTGAGATGTCTATCAAATTAATTCAAGCAGCATAATTTTATTTTAGTTGGATTACTATTTGTTCTTGTCAAGCCTAAGGTCCAGGCTTCAAATCCATATCAAAGCAAACTGTTTCTAAAATTGACTTTGACTACAAACTCAACCTAATGTAAAATGGGTACTTAATACAGTATTCTGGGAAGTAAATACAGCGTGCAAGATCTTGACCACATCATCCATCAAGTGCTAAATGATCTATACAATTATAGATCTAGCTGTAAATACCAGATGTGCCAGTGGTCGGAGAAATATCCTTTACATTTTTTTAAGAACAATTTGTTTTGTACTTTTGTTGGAGAATAGAAAACTGATAATTTTATAATTTTGTCGCCACAGAGTTACGTCGGGTGGCCGTGTTAGCACAGTCGATAGGAGACTCGCTTTCAAATCCAGCTGCGACTTGCTGCAGCCCACAGTCGGTGTTCGACACCGTGCAGTTCCCGGGTTTCACCTAGCTTATAGGAAATGGGTACCAAAGTTAACACTCTGGGGTAAATGGAGGAACATCGCTGTAGCGATCGGAGTTGCGAGCAGACGGCGACACACGCGGACAGTTTCTTATCAGCTTTCCGTACTGGTGGCAGAGCACCTATGGTTTATAATCATGTGCAATGATGCTGGTTCACATCTCCTGACTTTATACCTTTACCTTTCACAGTGTTATGCCAAACATACAATTCAGTAGCAGGGCAACAGAACCTTTGGACTGTAGTTTCAGAAATGGGGAATTTGCATCAGCAAGCCCTGGCTAGAAACAGTTAACTAGTCAGAGCATCAGTGGCAAGCCGGCTATATTGGAACTAAGTCTTAACTCATTCTTGTTCTTTAAATTTGGTCAGTGTAATGCTATACTATCAGTGCAGTTTTAACAACACAATGTGGGTTAACAAAGTTTACGCAACATACCTGTGCTGGTTAAGGTAGATGAGAATAGATGTTGCAGCACTTGCTGTGGTTACATGCCCAGCAAACAGAAGCTCTAGGCACAGATCCATTAGGTCTGGAAGGTGCACAGAATGTTCTCCTTGGTTGTCCAGTAATCTAGACATGGCATCTTTGAAGCCATGTTGTGCAGACCCTTCATTTGAGTTCATTTTATGCATCTTGAGTTCAAGACATTCCTTGATATTTGCCAACAGAGTTTTCCGAGCTTCCATACCCTGTGTACAGAGAAAAAAAAACAATGCTTTACAATGAATGAAAATAACTCCCAGTCAGGGTAACCGGGCCCTCTTTTGAGAAAAACAAAATAAACCACCCACTGCCCCCTTCCCCAAGCATGCAGTGCAACTAATTAACTGAGAACAAAATACCTAGAATGTCTTTGCACTGGAACCCACAGGGCATATAAATAAAGCAAGACCCACAAACACATGGGGAAGGGAGTTAGAGAGTGAAGTTAAAAAGATGGGGAGGACATCCAGAGAGCTGCATGCGAGAGTGAAGGATAGAATGACTTGGCATGAGTTGGCTGAGGGCCTATGCTCCATGGGGTGTTACAAGGCAGAAGAAGAAGAAGAATTAGCAGTTTGCTGAAATCAGATATGTTGGGCTGATAGGCAGATACCACAATCTAGATGTAAGCCATAACACAACAAACCAACTGCTCTTTAAAGGTGGAGGCAACAGCAGTAGTAGCAGTAGCAGCAGCAGCAGTAGTAGCAATAATAGTAGAAGCAGTAGTAGTAGCCAGTGAGGAGTCCACATGTTAATAGGAGCAGTTGCAACCTGATTAAAGGCCCGGCAATGTTTTCCCCTTTGGTGTTAAATTGGTTCCAAAATCTGTACTCATACTCCACTGATTTAGTCTTTCAATGTATAGATTCTCTATTCGTTTGCGCTGTCGTATTTGATTCCAGAGAGTTTTCACCATGTCAGCTTTATCATAAAGTAACTCACTGCCCAGAGCAGCGGCAGCAGCCAAACTGTCAGCCTGCTCATTACCCTAGAATGCTCAAAATGAACATTAATAAGTGCTTTTAGAGTCTCAAACACAAAAACAGCTTCAATAATATCTCAAACACAAAAACAGCTTCAATAATATCTCAAACACAAAAACAGCTTCATTAATATCTCAAACACAAAGACAGCTTAAATGATATCTCAAACGCAAAGACAGCCTGAATAATATCTATCTGGTCAGCCCTAAGGTCCAGGATTCAAATCCATATCGAAGCAGACTGTTTCCAAAATTGACTTTGACTCCAAACTCAACCTAACCTATAATAGGAATACAGTATTCTGGGAAGTAAATACAGCGGGCATGAACACAGACAGCCTAAATGATACATCACTGTTGTTTCAATACCTTAGTGAATCCAAATCCTGGGTATTGCCGGGGGAATGAAAAAAGATTGTTTTCAAAGACTCTATAAACATCCAGAAGATTTCTTTGTTCTTTCGGTGTGAGACTGAATCCTAGAAGAGCTTCAACAGCCAGTGCAAATGACATATTTTTGCATTCTTGGTATCCAAAAACTATTTCCTGGCTACACCATGATTTGATACAAGTTTGAACAACCTGTAACAATATTCAAATCAAAAGGTCAGTGGTATTTAGGTGAAGTTTAAGCATTAACAAATTAATGTTGGCTATGAATTATTTTTCAAAACCAAATTTATTTTTCGACAACCCAAGCTTTTTCAGTACAATAACAAATCATAGCAGATGCAAAAGGTGATACAAATATCAAAGTGTAGTAAAACTTTGATTATCCGTCACCATCTGGATCATGGCTGTGACAGATAGCTAAATAGACAGATAACAGAAATCTCTAAATATGTGTGTACAGTTAGTTACCTCATTTCACTGAGAGATTTCAAGGACAGCGTCAAGCAATATTTAAAGTGAATGCAACTGTGCTTGTAACAATCTGTTATACTAACAATTTATTTCAGTTTAACTATAAAAAAAATAATTTTAAACCTTTTTTATTGAACAAAATGACAAGGACATTTTTGTTTTCATAAGCAATTTGTGCATTTAGCGTTGAACATCTAAGACGAAAAAGTATTTGAAACATTTCTTCTCAGACCCTCAGCTCTGAACATGTCTGCAATTCCCCACCTATTTTTTGCATGGTGTCCCTGTTCCCTTCCATGCAGTGTGGCTACTTCAATATGTATATCAGTCATGTCCTGCTTGCAGACATCTTTACACTGTAGTAGATCTTGTCGTGCCACATTTAATAAAGATTTCTTTATTGTATTATAAGATAGCCAGTTCTCTTGGTAAGAAAAAGTTGACCACGTTTCACTTCCTTTAAGTAGAGTACTTCTTCGCCTTCACCGTCTGTAAACTCTGGCGGAAAGTTCTGGTTGTTCGTCCACTTCTGGACTGCAATTCTCTTCCAGAACCTGAGTATTGCGTGTGCATCCATTTTACAGATCTGACTCATTTGTTTGCAGACTGCTGGTTCCTTGCCTCTCAGGCAGATGCACTACGACTTTGAAAAAAGCTCTCAACTAGCAGACTCTTACGACATGCTTTTGGGTAGGCAGTGGTTCTATTCTTGTTTCCTCTATAACAGGGCCCCAGAAACCACACAGAGAAGTAGAGTACTGAAAGCACAACCTTATTAAATAAGGGTTTTTGTTCTAACCTTGAGCTTTATGTTTTCCTAAACTCTTTTTTGTTAATCTGGTAATTGTTGTTAAACATTATTATTGCTTTATTTATCCTGATGTTGATTTCTTGGTCCAGTGATAGTTTGTTACTGAAAAAGAATTCTAGGTAGGTAAAATGGTCAACTGTCTCCACTCTTTAGCATCAGTGAAGAATGCAGGCCCATATTTAGCACGTTTACCAGAATCATTGTCTTCTGTTTGCTGACTGTTAGACCAAATTCACAACAGGCTTCAGTGAATGCAGAAAGTAGACTTTGCAGTTCCTCTTCTCAGTTGGTTGTACTTTGCAATATCATCTACAAACAGCAGCCCTTTGATAAGTACCATCTTAATTCTGTCTTGGTTTTCAGTCTACAAGGATTATACAGGCTGCCAACAGATCTGCATATTTCAGTATTTTCGTAGTAACAATCTTTTTCTTCTTGATTTTCACAGGCTGTAAACTCCGACGGAAAATTCTGGTTGTTTGTCCACTTCTGGACTTTGATAACTGTTCAAGAACCTGTGTTTTACATGCATATCCATTCCACAGATCTGGTTATTTGTTTGCAGACTGTTGGTTCCATATGCACTCTGAAGTCAAAAGAAAGATCCCTAATTAGTCATCTTATATAATATGCTTTTTAGGGGACAGTGGGTCTCTTTTTCCCCCACCAAAATGGGGCCCAAAACCTACACAGGGAATAGTAATAGTAATAATTATCATCATCACCAGCAACAAGTTTATGTAACCTACTGAGTACTCACCTTCTGCATGATGGAAATATAGTCAGACATAGCTGTATGACTGAATGCTTTCTGTAAAGCCATTCTCTTAGTTCGATGGAGTTCACCTACAGAATTGGTGAGTGAACCCTTCCCTAGAAGATGGCGGACACTCTCCGGCCAGAAAACTGTCACAAGGTTGTTCTCATTCATCAGTATTATCTTAACGTTTTTGGCTCCAGTCACACGAATAACAGGTGAACCCAGTATGTGAGTTTTGTACACCTCACCATGCTGTTTGAATCTAGATTCGAAGAACTGTTTTTTCTGTAAGAAACAGTACAAACATTGTTGGTTTTATGAAGAGAGCACTGAAGGTTTGCATGATGAAATCAATTGATATACACTAGAACAAAAGAGATGCATTGATATGTTCAGGTCAGCTGGTGGGAGGGTTAGGGGGGGGGGGGGGGTGGAAAATTTGTGTCAGTTAAAAGGGGTAGAAGGGATGTACTATCAGTTGATAGGGGCTGGGGGAATCTATTGTCAGTTGATGGGGGCTGAGGGATGTATTGTTGGTTTGAAAGGGGCTGAGGGGTGTACTGTCAGTTGATAGGAACTGAGGGATGTATTGTCGGTTGATGGGGAATTGAGGGGATGTACTGCCAGTTGATAGGTCTGGGGGAAGGGGATGTACTGTCAGTTGATGGGAGCCGAGGGATGTACTGTCAGTTAATTGGGGCTGGGGGATGTATTGTCAGTTGATGGATGCTGGGGAATGTATTGTCAGTTGATGGAGGCTGGGGAATGTATTGTCAGTTGATGGGGGCTGGGGAATGTATTGTCAGTTGATGGGGGCTGGGGAATGTACTGTCAGTTGATGGGGGCTGGGGGATGTACTGTCAGTTGATGGGGGCTGAGGGATGTACTGTCAGTTGATGGGGGCTGGGGGATGTACTGTCAGTTGATGGGGGCTGGGGGATGTACTGTCAGTTGATGGGGGCTGAGGGATGTACTGTCAGTTGATGGGGGCTGAGGGATGTGCTGTCAGTTGATGGGGGCTGGGGGATGAACTGTCAGTTGATGGGGGCTGGGGAATGTATTGTCAGTTGATGGGGGCTGGGGATGTACTGTCAGTTGATAGGAAATGGGGATGTACTGTCAGTTGATGGGAAATGGGGATGGACTGTCAGTTGATGGGGGCTGGGGAATGTACTGTCAGTTGATGGGGGCTGGGGATGTACTGTCAGTTGATGGGGGGCTGAGGGATGTACTGTCAGTTGATGGGGGCTGGGGGATGTACTCTCAGTTGATGGGGGCTGGGGGATGTACTGTCAGTTGATGGGGGCTGGGGGATGTACTGTCAGTTGAAGGGGGCTGAGGAATGTACTGTCAGTTGATGGGGGCTGAGGGATGTACTGTCAGTTGATGGGGGCTGGGGAATGTATTGTCAGTTGATGGGGGCTGGGGGATGTATTGTCAGTTGATGGGGGCTGGGGGATGTATTGTCAGTTGATGGGGGCTGAGGGATGTACTGTCAGTTGATGGGGGCTGAGGGATGTACTGTCAGTTGATGGGGGCTGAGGGATGTACTGTCAGTTTATGGGCGCTGGGGAATGTATTGTCAGTTGATGGAGGCTGGGGAATGTACTGTCAGTTGATGGGAGCTGAGAGATGTACTGTCAGCTGATGGGTGCTGGGGGATGAATTGTCAGTTGATGGGGGCTGAGAAGATGTACTGTCAGCTGATGGGTGCTTGGGGGGGGGGGGGATATTGTAAGTAGATGGGGGCTGAGTGGGTAAATGTATTGTCAGTTGACGGCTGGGGGGGGGGGGGGGGGGGGGGTACTTTCAGCTGACGTGTGCTGGGGGGGGGGGCATACTGTCAGCTGATGGGGGAATGTATTTTCAGTTAATAGGGGACTGGGGAATAACTTGTTAGCTGATTGGGGGGGGGGGGGGGGGGGGGGGGTAAAATGTCAGCTGGTGGTGGGGGGGGGGGAGGGGGGAGCAGGTTGTTCTGCCATCTGATAGGAGAAAGGGAATGTACTGTGAGCTGATAGAATGGTTGTGGGCTGGGTGGGGAGAGTACAATATGCTTCTTGATGATGATGTGATGAAAATCTTTTTCTTCTTTGCATTCATCAGTTGTTAACTTTACAGGTCTTGGTTGTTCACCCACATGTGATCTTGCTCCAGAACCTGTGTTTTGCATGTATAATAGACTTGGCTTTGTAAACAGACTGTTGGTTTTTTCGCTTTTCATACAGATGTACTGACATGAAGTGATCACTCCCGAGTAGTTGACGTTTACGACATGCTTATGCAGGGGGGGGGGGGAAGTGGCCTATCCCCCTTTCCCCCATTGGGGGCCCTGGAACCCACACGGGTGTGATGACGATGATGTTGATAATGCGATTAAAAAAGTATTGATGATGCTGATAACATGTCCTGAAAGAATGTCCCTTGTACAGTAGGGAATACTGACCCAGTAAGTCAACACTGTACTCACAGGTATATCGAACTAAAAAGGAAACTCCTAAAAACCAATCAAGTTCATTATAAGAACTTGTCCGTCTGTGTAAAAAAGAAAACTGATGATGTTAAACACAAAAACCAATGAATTCCCACAGTGATGACAATAAAACACTTACTCCGCACATGAAGAGAAGCGTTTCCCCAATGATGGGCAGCCCCATGGAGCCAGGAGGCAGCAGTAGGTTAGGCCAACGACCCCGACTGCTGTAGTGGTAGACGTTCCATAGGGTGCAGCAGACGATCAGCAAAATGGCGGGCATTACCACCCTCACGGCTGTCAAAGGGTGGAGCTTTCTGGAGTGTTGAAAACATAATCATGTTATTTCTTCTGTCTGCTGCCATGTATCTAATTCTACAATTACTGTGATTTATCTTACAAAATGAGCAGTTGGCCAAACAATTAAAAACATTGGGCTATCGTGCAAGAGACCCAGGCATGAATCCTCAGTAAGGCAACGGTTTTTTTTTTCTGTCGGGAGCAAAAATAAAATTCTAACCTGCACAGTTCGTGGCGACTGTACTAGACATGCAGTCCTAAATCCCCAGGCTCTAAAACATCCACTTACACTACAAAAGAGGTAACTACTGCCATTTTTTGTTCTTTTAACAATATAAGTATGTCCCAAACAAGTTAGTTGCCGTGTTCTTTACAGGACGTTGCTAAAACAATCCCAGATTTTATTTTGGATGCTTGTGATTTGTTAGTTCAGTAGTTTGTCAAAAACGGAACGGTCTGCTCTTGATACTACTCTTGAAACCAAAGCAAGGTGGTCTCCTGCTAAATCGCCTGCAACTAGGATCGAACCCAGCACCCTGCCATTACGAAGCACGTTCGCAACGCTTAAGCCACAGACACCTACAAACAGTTTACACATACTTTAGGGAGGGAAATGGTCTTGTCTTAGAGCAGGGTTATTCGGCTAAGTTTACTCAGAAGCCAACATTTTCAAATGGGAATCGTCACGGGTCAGAATCCCCAGTTCCAGCAAAGAAAGATCATTAATACGGTACAACTGACAATGATCCGCGGGCCACAAGCTAGGACTCCGTGGGCCAGACCTGGCCCACGTGCCGCAAGTTGAATAGTCCTGCTAAGAGGTTAGTAAAACTTTCAAAATGCAACCCATGACGTTTACCGGGGCTCGATTCCTACACAGGGCGGTCAAAGTTGGTGCTTGCGTACACCTTTGGTATTATTCGACTCTCGCCGAGCAAGCCGGTACTTTTGGTGCCAGGCCCGATGTTTTGGTACGTTGTACAAATGTTGCATGAATATTTTAGTTTGGCATTGTATGCTGGATCCAGTATGTGTTACTGGAGGAAGGTTGCGTTTCCTTTTACATGACGTTGCTGAACCAACTCCAACAGCTCCTGGCTGTTGTGTGGTTTTTCTAGGCAAATTTACGTCCAGTAGTTTGACTGAGGTCAATTAAAGTTTTTCCCAGCATTGTTAAATAAGAACATTATGAACAAACAAAGAATGGACGAAACTAATGGTAGGTACTTGTACCCAACCAGGACATCACACAAGCGATAAACACCCGGTGACACAAAGTACCACCATGTGGATGAGGATCACCCGTGGAGAGTTCCAGAAACCCCTTTCAGCCGTTAGGTCAAATCTATGGCTAGGCCATATTTAGGGTCCGGCTATATTCAGGGCCCCCGGCAAAAGCCAGGGTGGGGCTTCAAAATAACAAAAAAATTGCATTCAGCGAGGGGACGACTAATAAACTAAACCAATAGTGCAAGATCAACCACCTAATGCTGAAAAAAAAAAATAATAATAATAATTACACAATTTAAGTTTACAATTTCAGAATAAAAATCGCTTTGCATTAGTATTAAGAATTATGCGTAGTCTTTTGGCATTAACTCATTCCCCTGAAGAGGCAGAAATAATTTTTCTCTCAGAGTAACAATATTAATATATATTTTTTAAATTCTCTCTTCTCGGAAGCTTCACCAAGAAATGGATTGATGAGATCAAAGTTATTGCTCCAGGACAATAACTTGTCAAACTGGAAACCGCTACAAAGCTTTGCAACAAACGGAGGAGGGAGGCGAGGGTGTGGGGAGGGGAGGAGTGGTAAAGCAAAGATGTAATGGACACAACATAAATTCAAACTTTGATCAAGTATAAGCTAAGCCAGTTATACACGTATGATCATAAATACATTTTCACGGTACTGTAATTAAAAATTCAAGCATTTGGTACCTTTTGGTGTGTTTTGGTACAGTAAAAAATGGCCACGTTTTCCCCACGCTCTCTCCCCAGTTATTTACATTTTTTAATCCGCACAACTGTAGTAAGCACTGGCACATTTGTAGACACTGTTTTGTGAGTACCGGCACTTCTTTTCCTAGGGTAAAAAACCGTGTCTACAAGTATTACCCAACACCGGCACACACCTCAGTCAAAGTCTCTATTCTAATACCGATATTGAATGTTCTGGAACTTTCTGCCCTGACACACTTAGCGGTGCTTTGACCTATAACATTTAATGCAAGCTAAAATTGGCGTAGTGATAATTAATGAGTGTCAAGTGGCCGCCATGTTTCACAGTTAAGCACCGACAATAAATTATCTAGTACCTACTAACTACGCCTTAGAAGAAATTGTTGTTTCCCTCCATTTTTCTAGATTCCTAGGTCAATTCAGCCTAGAATAAATAATAATGATGTAGAAGTTCTTTAATATCATCAATCCATGTTCTCAAAGTGCAATCTCTTGCTTTTACATCAGACATTTTTATGTGTATTGTTTGAGTTGGTAGTTGTGGCTGTATTCCTACTAGACGACCAAATCCTTTGATCTTGTTTCTTAATGAATTTGCTGCTGTTGTTTTTTCCAGTGTGTCTGATAATATCGTTTCTAACGTTGTCTCGGATAGTTACGTTAGTGACTTTTCTAGGACATCTCATTTCACAGGTGTTAATTGTTACAACAACTAGTAACGCCTACAAAACATAAAGAATGACTCTCGAACGAACAGACGATGGTTATATTAGTAAGAAGTAGCAAGCAAAGATGTAAAACCAAACGAAAAGTATATCAGCCAGCTTCACAATATCAGATACACACAAAACGTGACCGTTAGAACAGGGCACAAGTCTAGAAGTAAACGAACACCCAGGAATTTTTTCCGCGTGGGTTCCGGAATCCCATTGTGGGGAAAACAAGAACAGACCCACTGACTTCTTAACAAGCATGTCGTAATAGTCGACTAATTGGGGGCTTTCTCCAGAGTCGTAGTGCATCTGCCTAAGAGGCAACGAACCAACAATCTACATACAAGTCAGATCTGTAAAACGGATGTGCACGCAACACTAAGGTTCTGGAACAAGACTAATGTCCAGAGGCGGAGGTACAACAACCAGAACTTTCTGCCGGAGTTTATCGCCGATGAACGCCAAGAAGAAGAACATACCAGATGAACATCAAGAAGAAGAAGATAACAGATGAACATCAAGAAGAAGAAAATAACAGATGAACATCAAGAAGAAGAAGATAACAGATGAACATCAAGAAGAAGAAGATAACAGATGAACATCAAGAAGAAGAAGATAACAGATGAACATCAAGAACAAGAAGATAACAGATGAACATCAAGAAGAAGAAGATAACAGATGAACATCAAGAAGAAGAAGATAACAGATGAACATCAAGAAGAAGAAGAGGATGGCACTGCACTTGGTTAAACACAATTAGAACAAAACTGAGGCTGGCTCTTTCATTCAAATAAATGTAGTTACGGCGCACGACATACGATCATGCCAGACCTATGTTGGAATGGCGACTTCTGAACACGCCAGAATCGGGGAGTAATGAAATGTTCTGGCAGTGAGATGCTGTGTTTAAGAAGTAAAAAATATATTGTACACATGCCCATTAATATCAATTTGTAGCATTCTCATCTCATTGCGCAAAAAAAAAAAAAGGTAATTTTTCTTCACCCATAATAAGTAAAACAAAGGGACTTTTTCCACGGACCCATGCGTTCTGTGCATATAGGCTAGACCCATATTTTATGCACCACTTAGCACTTGGTGGGCGATGTGCCAGTATGACACCGGCTGCCACTAGTTCCCAGGACTTTACCTGGTAACCATTTAGGGCTGAGTGGAACCAAAGCCACTTTGAAAAAAGTTCCAGCTACGACAGGACTTGAACCCACAACCTTTCTATCCACAGGCGAGCGTCCAGCAGCTACATCACGATGGCTACCTCACCCACAAAAACTTTAAATAAAGACTTACCTGGCCAAGTCGGGCATAGCTGAATCCATGAGCCAAGATGTGGTGTTGTAGATTTCATCGCTGCCGTCCATTCTTTATCCTTGAAACAAAATGATTTAGACTTGAGTGCACATGACATAGTTACATAGACCGTGTCACATGAGTAAAACTCAAGCATGAATTATATTTAATTTACAGATCACTACCAAGCTACCTAAGCATGAATTATGAAATTTTAACTTTTCTTAAAATATGAATCAGTTACATACAGCAGATCGCTTTATGTTATCGGTTCTCAACCTGTAGGTCGCGACCCCTTTGGGGTCAAACGACAGTTTCACAGGAGTCGCAAAAGACCATCGAAAAACACATATTCACAGAAGTTATGAAGTAGCAACGAAAATAATTTTATGGTTTGGGGTCACCACAACATGGGAAAATGTGTGAAAGGGTCGCGGCATTAAGGAGGTTAAGAAACACTGCTTTATTGCGATTTCTATATTGCGTGGGTCGTTCAGTAGCACGGACAAACTAGTGAACTAAAATTGCCAAGTAAAACCATAAATAGCCAACAAATGCTGAGTTTCATTTGCTCAGTTCTGTAAAGGATGTGTGCAGATAACGTCTTGAAACAGCCTATAGTCGAAAAGTCAGCTTTGTACCAGTGCACATCTTTCCCTTGCACATTGCTGAGCTTACCACTCACCGCTTTTATTGTTCTTGTTCGTCTTCTCGTTCACCAGTTGTAGACTCCAGCGGAAGGTTCTGGGTTTTCGTCAACTTCCGGAGTTTAGTCTTGTTCTAGAACCAGAGTGTTGCGTGCACATACGTTTCACATATGTGGCCAATTTGTATGCAGACTCTTGGCTCATTGCAGATATACTCCGACTTCGAAGGATCTCTCCCCTTCCCCAATTATTCGACTCATACGACATGCTTGTTGTGGAGGCAGTGGATCTATTCTTGTTTTCCCCACAATGGGATCCTGGAGCCAGCACCAGGATAGCTTGTATTCAATTAA